ACTGTAAAGTGTAATGACTAATTTGTAAGTGAACGAGGCAGTCTATTTGCACATGACTGTGTCCTACAAGCAGCTATGAAGTGAAGGAGCAACTTTATTTGGGGGATTGTTATCAGGACACCAGGAGAAACTCCCTTTTTTTCAAATAGTGCTATGAAATCTTTAAAGTCCACCTGAACAAGCAGACAAAATCTCGGTTTAATGGTTGGTCTGAAGGACAACACCTAATAATGCAGTATTGAACTGCTTTGCAGTACTGCACTGGAGTGTAGGCCTAGACTGACTTTGAATGAAGTAAAATGTGATAAAATGAGTGTGGATTTAAGCAAAGTAACTGAACAACCATATTTGCTGTAAATAGAGAAAATTCTACACAATTGGTGCTGTATCTAGATGGCTGCCAATCCAGGTAAAGGCAGCATTAGCAGTACCAGATATAGACTTCCCAAATTCTTGAAAAGCTAACCGAACGTTTTCTGCAAACATGATTACATGTGGTGAGCTACAGAAATCTTTATGAAAGACCAAATTCAACTCGAATAACTAAGCTTGTTTTGCATTTCTTGGCTATGTTGCATTCATTAATTAATCAGAGGAGACATGGTGTTGCTGTGTAACATCTTTGATGCATTTTACTTGTTAATTACATGTATTTTTTACGGATAAATGTATTCGTGGTGGTGTCCACCCTAAAATGAAGGTTTTCTTAACATTCCATAATAAGACAGGCAGAACTAACATCTGACATCTGTTATCATAATTTAAGAGGTTTTTTTCAAGCAGATGCTCTATATTGGAAATGATTCATTTTACAGTGTTAAGACTTGGTAGCTACTGTATTTTTATTCAACTGGCCAATTTCCTGAGCCTTGAGCCTTTGTTTTAAACTAGACGTCTGTTTGTGATTAAAATAAATCTTATTTAAACCGAAAGCTCCATAGCAAAATCCTCCTGTCCAATTGGGTGGCAGCAGGATTTATTGCAGTCTAGGATACTACCGTCAGGATATTGTACTATTCAAACATTGTTTTTAAAATGAACATATAGAAATCTTAACTGTTCAGTGCTTTACGTGTTCGTCTTGTCTTAGTTTGTTTGAATTGCATTTTTGCGTCATTCTGGCACTGCTCAGTTGCCCAGCTGGTAAATCTTTTGGGGGTGGGTTAGTGGGTTAAAGGAAGGCATTTTATAATTCGATTTCACCAGTTTTGTCCAGAACATAATGTGATGAAGTATGTGCTGGACTGTACACAGTGATTCAATGTGAAGTTGTCCTCTTGAGTTCAATGCAAACATTTGCTTCAGTGCAAACATGTTTAATTGAATCATTTTATCTGAATTAAATAATGATCCTTGCATTTGATATAGTGACTTTCAAGTTGGGAATACGTCTCAAGTTGCTTCATACGATTGACTGTAAACTGTAACTCTGTGCAAATGTCTGACAAACAAAGTGCACAACCAATTCTATAAATTTACAGATGTATGGTTAGTTTCAATATAAAGGTTTACATTTGACAACATGGGATTACTAAGTACTTTCTTCCATCTTTACAAACCAAGTAAATACCCTGATGATACAGTCCTTTCTAATATACTGTTTAGTTTTGTTTCACATACGTTATGCTTGTTTAAGAAAACTGGACTGTTTTGTAATGGACAGTTATATTTTAGTTGTTGGTGGAATATCGTTGAACATCTTACAAGGACTAAAGTACAGCATTTTCAATCGTAGACTTTTTAATCATAGATGTGCTTTTTAACAATGTATGGGTCACATTTCATAATCTTTACCAGCAGTTTGTCGCTTGTGGTTAGAAACCTGACCCTTTTTAGCAAGTGGAAGGGGCTGAACTTTTTCCAAAGACAAAATATATTCAGTGAATTCTTAGAATCTGTTATTTTGTTGCCTATTAGGGGAGAACAAATAATTTTTAAGTTCTCTTTTTCTAAAACTTTCCTTCCCTTTCTCAGCCTTTCCACCTCTGCAGCTGCACATCTACCATTAGGTGTGGGAACTGTAGCCTCTTGTATTGCTCACATTAGCTGATATGATATGACATGTCCTCCCAAATTTAACCTGACTCTTTCTATTCTCTCCCCCCCCCCACCTTCCCAGTAGACTCCCACCAGCAGCTCTGTTTCAAACTGATATAATCATACTCTGCGAGTAGTTTCATTGATTTTACCACCTATTGAATCCTTATTTTTATAGATTTATTGAAATGCGAGTTGAATGCCTTTATGATACAGTATTTAAAGAAAAGTAAATTCCTTATGTGTGCCCCCACCATTAAACCTGTGTCCAGGTATTCAATGGTAATGAATTAGTACATTTGACCCTCAAACACGTTTTGTAATACACCAGTCAGGGCAGACCCATGCATTTGGCAGTCTGTACCTTGTCAAAACTAGAGGGAATGCTTGGCTTTTCCTGTTTGTTCTAACCAGTTCCCTTTAGGCCACATGTAAAGCCTTGGTATTTCTCTCATATCCTGACCAATTCCTACTAGGCCTCTTAACACAATCCTCTTCCTTTACCCTGAAGCACACAGTTCAACCAGGAGAAAAGATAATCGAGAAATTGAATATTTTTCACAATTATTTACAAGATCGAGAACTATTTAGAAATTTTAGAATAGTTCAGGTATTTACAGCAGCTTTACTGGCGTGCAGAATTTCATACAATCTCGGGGTGGGGGGGGGGAGGATTAGCATTTATAAAGCTAAGGATGTAAAAAAAATGCTGCAGGTGACAAAAGCATGCACATAAATGGATTGTACCAAATATCTTTCTCATGTTCCTTTTTAGACGTTTTTTGGAAATCCAGAAATCATCATATGCACCAAACACTTAGATGTAGAATAAGCTACAACTTATTTACCCAAAACTTAACATCTGGTTCAAATGCAGTATTGGGAAGACCTGGGAATACGTCATTCAGCTACTTTCTCTGTTGGTAAATGGCACAATGGGACAAAAAAACAAAGTTGCAAACAAGCAGCTATCTTTTGACTCGTCTTTCTTACACTCTCTTCATAAGGTGTTGTACAGCAATATGGGCCTTAGCCTTTTGCCAATATTCTGTATTATGTATACAATAACTAGAATGTGCAGGTTACAACAAGCACAGTTTATCAGCTTAGTGTTTAGAGCACTCGACTCACAAGCGAGAGACCTGGGTTTGATTCCCGGCAGGGCAAAACCTTGGGCAAGTTTCCTTACACCTTCTGCCTGATAATAATCCCTCAAGAAGAAGAAAAATTATTCCACGACTGTTTGTGGGGATGCTGCTGTGCGCAATTGGCTGCCGTGTTTTGTCCACAAAATATACAGTCAATTTATTTTACAGTATATTCAGTGAAGTGCTTTAGGACATCTGGAAGATGTGATAAGGTGCTATATCAAATGCAAGCATTACAAGGATTATTATTACAAGCTGCACATTTCAGCATTTTAAACTTAAAGCAATAAAACAGTGCCAACTTTTGTTCTTAGAAAACAGCAATGCAGGAGAATATTGGTGAAAGCTTAAGCCCATGTTGCTGTACAACACCTTATGAAGAGAGTGTCAGAAAAACGAGTCAAAAGATAGCTGCTTGATTGCAATTTTTTTTGTCTCATTGTGCCATTTGCCAACAGAGAAAGTAGCTGGATGACGTATTCCTGGGTCTTTCCAATACTGCATTTGAACCAGATGTTAAGTTTTGTGCAAATTGACTCAGCTTCCTAATGTTCCTTTGGTTTTGGGAAAGCGCTGTTTCTTCCTTCAATCTGTCAATGAGATGATTCAGCTGTGCTCAGGCAGTCACCAGCTGGTGAATCTCTGGCAGACCTGTATCTATGGTTCCACATATTAGTGCAGGGACACTGACCCATTAGCCTGCCTACATATCCAGGCCTAATAAAGATATTGTCCTTCAAACCCAGCATGTAAGTTCTTGTCTAGTGTTTTTAAATGTTAGCTGTCAGTAGCTCCCTGGTAATGACATGTTCTAGTTGTGGTTGAAAATATTAGTTTCAACGTCACTCTTGACTGCTAGTTTGCTGTTTATGAACAAAGGTGCTCATGAGAATTAACTTCCCCCTTCCCCACTACAAAAATAAATCTTTTAGTTAACTGAATAAGACAATAGTGTAGCTGTTTCTCAAGAGCATACTTTTTAAATAAAAAAAATCCAATTAAATGTTTACATATCTAGTAAGCTTGTGCTCGGCCAAATGTCGTTATAATGCAGAATTTCTCAAGTGGTAAACTCATGGGAGTGCCAAGCAGAAAGCAGGTGTAGCAGTCCCAGGTAGAGATCAGATACTTCCTTATTGGCAGGAAAGGGGAATTTGGCAGTAAGTTACCCGAGGCTGCTCTTAGACTTTGCAATAAAGTAGGCCAAGTACATGACCTTCTCCTGTCTGGTTGGGAATGGGGCAATGACATTTAAATTAACTGAAGAATTTGATCAGACGCATAATGGAAAGAGGAACAGTTAGAATCATTTCTCAGTTTCTGTAAAAAAAAATTTGAAATTGTTTTTGTATATCATCAGCTTAGCAACTTGTGCAATTGCATTCACTCTGGCAATAGGCCATCGCAGTACTATAATGGCAAAATCTTAGGTATGAATAAATTGTCCTTAAGGTAACACTGAAGAGTTGCAAAGGTCACTTTCTTTTCCATAAAGATGTTTCTGGTTTCTTTAGCATACTGTAAAGTATCCCCATGTTACACAATATCCATAATGAATTTTAGAAAATGGTTTCAGAAATCTGCTTTGCAGAATTCAAGAATTATGCAGTTGATGGCGTATGAGTTTCCAAATCTGCTTTGATTAGCAAACTAAATACAGTTGTTGTGAATAGAATTGCTCAACATCTACCTTGTAATTGTTTGATCACTGTTGTACCAGTGGAGATCAAAAGGTTACATGTTATGTATATTTACCTATTGCACTATCTGTCTAGTGTTCAGAAAATAGTGAGACCTATCTTCCTATGTTTCCAGGAGAATACATAAAAACATGGAGGCCCAGGTATTTTTTGCTGAAGACTGATGGCACATTTATTGGGTACAAAGAACGGCCACAAGATGTAGACCAGTTAGAGACCCCCTTGAATAACTTCTCGGTTGCACGTAAGTATGGCCTTTCACCATTTTCGTTTTGGGATTCCTTACTCTGCCAGAACATCAAAAAACAGATTTGACGGTAATTGAATTACACGTTTATAAAATGATGAGGGAGAAGCAGTGTTCTTGGTAGTAAAGTAAATTATCTTGTAAAACTAAATGGCTTGATTTTTTTTAAATTGCGTATCTGGGAAAGTTGAAGGGGAAATTTGAGCAATGTGATCTAATCCTTATATATAAATTTCTATTCTATTTGGGGAAAGATAACTAACTACATGAATTTTGGATGTGTTGAGATTTGAAATTAATCAAGAACCTCACCTTGTGCAGACAGTAAATTGGTTCTCAGGCTGTAGGTTAGCTCCTTTCGTTTACAGTATTTTTAAAACAATATTGTGCAATATTTTAGAAACTATTGCTTGTGAATATTTAGATCGACTTTTTCTAGAATCCCAATACCTTAAACCAAAAGAAAAGTCTGTGGTTACTAGTTATATGATGCATGGCCTTTTAGTGACAGGACTGGTAGAATTAGCATGTATATGTTATATTGAAGTTGATCAAGAAACTTGAATGTTCCTAGGTAATTAAGTAGCATATTGTTCCATATTATAAAGCTTCCCTATATGCCTCATTTGATTTATAGTGGTTATTAACAGGCAAACGTGTATCTTGTTTGTATTTATTGACCGCTGCATCATCAAAATTGAAATCTATTGCTAAGGAAAGACATGAATATTTTGTTTAAACCACAAATTTGATTTCATTCTTCCTCCAACACCCATCACTACAAAATGCATACGACTCGGTGAACTGAAGAACAGTTCACCTGCTGGCACTTAAATGATCTTTTGATAAGCAACAGTCATTCTACTACAGCTGCTCTTCAACTTCTTTCCTTTTCATTCCCCAGTTTGTAGTTTTTCTATTTGTTCTTTATGTTCCCCTTCCTCTTTCTCACCCTCTCCCTCCACCCCGGCCCCACCACCCCCGCCAAAGTAAGCCTGACTTATTAGCTCTCAATAAGACCTGAGCCAGCTGCCAGTAGGTGTTCAAAATCACTTTATTTTCTTCCTTCCCTGAGGGTCTATCCTGTGATGGCACGACCGAGATTAGTGTGGCCTAAATCTGCATTCTGGCATGAAATATTGGAGCACCAATGTTCCACTTACTCTGCGTGTCCCAATACTTGATCAACAACCAATTTTTTTCACAACTCCAGTTACAAAGTTTGTTCTGCTAATCTGAATACAGTTGCAGGGCATATTCGGAATTTATTGGAGCATTTTATTTTGTTTGTGCAACTAATGACCAAGCAACAACCACACTCGGAGACCTAACAATATCAGGCTATATAACTTCCATACTGGAGGGGTATGACTGGGTGACAGAGAGGGATTAGGATGGATGGAGGCTCATTTGGACTGCAAACATCTGTATGGAGTAGTTAGGCTGAATGGCTTATTTCTGAGCTGTAGTAGAGTCTGTGTGTGTTAATTTACTTTTACTAATCCCAACTATTGAGTAGTTTTAATTTGGGCTGGGTTTTTCCAGATATATCATTGATGCAAATGAGGTATTTTGATTGTGTTCTATGTGTATATATATATATTGTGTCTGTATATATATATATATATTTAGTTTTGTTTCAACTGAATTTACTTAAAATATACCTTCCTTCCTCAGCCCCAGTTTTCTCCATTGTGCACCTGCTTTTGTGCCTTTACTAATGCCTCTCTCACAAGAAATGAGATGACTTGTCCACTGCTTGATTCCATCTACTCCTGTCCTTGTAGAAGGACCTGGTCTATGCTCGCTAACTCCCCAGGGTGGGAGCTAGAACTTTTAATGTGGGACATTATCAGTTAATTGTACACAAGTGCATGGCAGATTGTACACAAACAGTAACTTCATGAAAACAGACTGAATTTTCAAAGTTTCCTGTTCTGTTAGAATGTCAACTGATGAAGACCGAGAGACCAAAACCAAACACATTTATCATCCGGTGCCTCCAGTGGACCACAGTAATTGAAAGAACATTTCATGTTGATACACCAGAGGAACGGTATGTCTCATCATTAAACGATATGTGCTCACCATTAACATTACCGTTCTTTGTGTGTTTATCGGGAGGCGAGAGTAAGGAAGAAATATTATTATAATAGTCCTTGCATTTGATATAGCGCCTTATCTCACGGTCAAGAAGTCTCAAACGCTTCACAGGATATACTGCAAAGTATATTTTGTGGGTGAAATGCTTATGTAGTTCTTGTCCATTAAGACAACTAATGTATATTTCAGTACATCTGTTTTATTAAAAGAGAAAATGTTTATAACTTAACTGATTCATATTGAACTGTTATATAAATCTACTAAAATGTTTTCCTTAAAAGGGGAAAGATATAGTTTAGGACAAAAGGCAATGCTGGTGGTTCTGGTTGGACTATATTTGCTGTATTCCTGAAACTTCCTTGTTTTCTGTGGCTTAATCTGACAATTGTGCCTACACAATATGACTCAATTCCTGCTTTTTGTAGTGAGAAAATATGTTCGATTTGAATTTCATAACTGTATATTTTTCAATGGAGCAGTTGAAGATTGTCATTTTTTTGTGTTTTCCTAAAGACAAACTTTCTACTTATTGAGATTCTTATTATCTTCAGTTGCACCATTTTTATTGAAGTAGCTCTGTGTGCTCTTAATGCAGTGTACGTTTGTTGAACCACTCAAAAACCTGGCACAGAAATAAATGAAATATCTTGATTGTGAGCCTAAAGGTTGCTTTTTAGTTCCCGGAGAGGCTGCAAGAGGGCGTTTTGTTGTTTTTGTTTGTTTCCTCAGTAACTGTTGCTGTTAGTGACAGTTTGGTCATATCCCAACTTCACAGCTCTCTGAAACTTGGGCATGCAGCCACCAAAGAGTTAGATAAATCTGAAATGGCTCGGGCTGAGAACGGCACTTACAAAGCTGTGGTATTTTCTCCAAAGGACAAGTATACTGTGCATCTTCTCTGATCTTTCAACCACTTCTCATGATTGGGAAAGCACATCACTTACAAACATTGAGGCAGTAGAAGGGGAGGAGGAAGAAAACAGATATTTGAACAGAAACATAAGGAAGCAAAGAAGGGGAATGGAATGGGGGGAGGAGGGGGTGGAAATCTAGAAGAATGGAAACCAAATGAGAAAGTACACTGAAGGACTGAAAGGAATAAGAGAAATGGGGTGAGGGAAGGAGGCAGGTGTTTCTGTTCATGTCTAGCAAAATTGTGGATTTTTTTTCTGAGGATATCTGTTGCCTTATTTATTTGTATTTTATGGCCGTTTTTTCCTTACATAGCTGTGCTATTGAAGGGTATATGTGCAATTCACAGTGGTCTCGTACAGATCTACTAAATATCTACCTGTATCTGAAAACAAGAAAATGCATTTTCTCCCTGGCAACCTTTAAATAATGATACTTGCATTTGATATGTTGCCTTATCACATCAAAAGTGCCTCAGTATTTCAAACAATTAGCTTTTTTTTAAAGTGTAGTGACTGTATATGGGTAAGAATATCTGCTGCAATTCCCTGCTCTTCAAAATAAATTCCAAGGAATGCTTAACATCCAGCTGAACTACCAGAGCAGGCTGATGGGATCTCTAATGTCTTGTTTGAAAGTGTTGAAATTCTGTTACTACCAACTAAATGTGCACTGATAGACTACTGGTGGGCAGGCAGCCTGCTCTTGCAGCATAAAATGCACGAGGTGATTCTCGGTACTGGCCTCTAGTATTTCTGGTTAGGGTAGCGTGCCTAAATGTTACAATGCATCCATCTGTTTTACAGACATTGATTCGATGATCCAGATGTATAAGCTGTATTGTAAAGTAACGACAGAGGAATGGAATGCAATTGCAGTCTTCTGGATGTCTATAAAGAACAAAGCTTATTCTGAGGCTTGGCTCTTGCCCACCTTTGCCCAATTTTCTGGAATTGGGTAAAGCACGTTGTGTCCCTCTAGGGAGAAAGTATATACTCCATTCCACCCAAATGGAAATCTCTATTGCTAGGTGGCATACACATATGGAACTCTCATCTGATTTGGATATCTTTAAGCAAAATCATGGTTTCCCTGGATGACCAAAAAGTGAAGAAAGGTCAATGGATCTGCTTTTCTACGTGTTTTTTCCTCTCTCCTAAGTTTAGAGCATTAGATCTATTTACAAAAGTATTTTACCTGGATGAGAGCTAACGTTCTTCAGTTAAATGTCAACAAGACCGAGGCTCTCCTGATTGGCTCCCATCAGCGCCTCCTCACCTCAGGCGCTGACAGTATCACCATCCACGGTTGCACACGCAACTTTGCTAAGCCAGACGTGAACCTTGGGGTCTTGTTCGACCCTCAACTATTCTTTCTACCCCACATTCGCGCCATGACCCGCTCTGCCTTCCCCCACCTCCGCAGCGTCGCCCGGTTCCGACACTGTCTCACACCATAGGCCGCTAAAACCCTCATACACGCTTTCATTCGAGGCTTGACTATGCAAACTGGCTGCTTGTCGGCCTCCCCAACTCCTCCCTCCACAGGCTGCAGATCATCCAGAGCTCTGTAGCCCATGTCCTCTCCCTCACTAGGCTCTGTGACCATCCTTGCCCAACTCCACTGGCTTCCCATCACACAGAGGATATAGTTCAAGATCCTGGTCCTCACCTTCAAAGCCCTCAATGGTCTTGTTCCCCTCTACCTCTCTGACTTCCTAACCCCCTTCCATCCTGTTCACTCCCTCCGCTCAGCGGGCTCTGGCCTGCTTCACGTGCCCCGCCTTGCTCACTATCGACGGGTGCGCCTTCCGCCACTCTGCATCCACCCTCTGGAACTCCATCCCGTAGTCCCTCCGCCTTGCCCCCTCCCTCGCCACCTTCAAGATCCACCTCAACACCCTCCTCTTCGACCGTGCTATCGATCTCCCTGCTTCCCCCCCTGCCCTTCCGGCACCTTGGAACATCCTCCTGATGTGAAAGGCGCCATATAAATGTAATTATGTTGTTTGTGTTGTTACCTGCAGTGAGGAATCTTAGCTTAATAAGGTCTGGTTAGCAATGATTGTTTTTGTTTCCAACTTTAGAGAAGAATGGACCAAAGCCATCCAAGCTGTCGCAGACAACCTTAAACCAGAGGACATCATGGACTTTCATCCAGAATTCCCAAGTGATAATTCAGTGGCTGAAGATATGGATGTTTCTCATAGTAAACCAAAACACAAAGTAGTATGTTCTTATAGTATCTTATATGCCTATACCAAGAGTTTAATCTCTTACAGTTTCTGATTTGTTGCGTGGTGTATTGAAGTTTGAAGAATACTTTAAAGAATTCAACCTAAATGTTCTCTGCCTTAATTGGATATATGTCGGAGATTGGAGTTATCATTACAGTACAGTATCCTGAAGCAGGATTCAAATTCTGTTACTTTTTTTTATTCTTCAGACTCTTCCAAGTTTCAATATTGTACATTCAGGAACCTTTCCTCATACTCTTAAGTCGGTAGTGGACAACCTTTTTGGTCGGCCAAGCGACTACATTCTCTTGATTGAATATCTCTTGATTTATGGCCAAACCATAAACATCGCCAGTCAGTAGCTACTGGAAACAAAACATTGATTTTAAAACAGACTCCTCTAGACTAGTGTGAATGTTTGGCGAGCCACTTCTTGACAGCCCCACTGACCACATCCGGTCTGCAGGCCGTGGGTTGGCCAACGCTGCTCTAAGTAGTTACAAAATATATTGTTAATATTCTTCTGCAGCACTCGTAAGTAATTTCAGAAGCTTTATTGGCGGTGACTTGTTAACGTTACTGAATTATGGATGTGATTTGTATGGATATTTTTTGTTGTGACTGAACATTTGTTGTTTTGCAGACAATGCATAATTTTGAATACTTAAAGCTCCTCGGGAAAGGTACCTTTGGGAAAGTAATCCTAGTGAAAGAAAAAGCAACTGGAACGTATTATGCAATGAAGATTCTTAAGAAAGAAGTAATTGTAGCAAAGGTAGGTTTTTTTTCAGTTGATTCACAGCTTGGTTCCAAATTACATCAATGGGCCAATTATTGACTATTCTAGCTGATGCTGTTCCATAAGCCATTTAGTGCAAGGAACATTTGTTTGAATTGAAATTCAGTTCTATTATGTTGGCTTTTTTNCTTTTTATACAGGATGAAGTGGCGCACACTTTGACAGAGAACAGAGTGTTGCAAAATTCCAGGCATCCATTTCTAACTGTAAGTGCTTGTTGAGTAGACATCAGTCATTGCCAATTTACCTGTTCATTTATCAAAAGTTCTCTTGTTTGGGTTGCACAACAAAATTAATTTACAGTTATTGTAAAGAATTCTGAAATGCCACAGAAAATGTTTTAATTAAATCTTTCATTTGGAGTGTGAGTTGTAGAGGAGATTCATTGATGTACAGTCATTTTGAGTTTAGTTTTGCTTTCTGTGGTTCTCTGTTAAACTGGTGCTTTGGTATCAATCAACTCCTTTGCTGAAGGTGAAAAGTCTTGGCCAGACATAGCAGTGAAGCGGTGTGGCATGTTGCTGTAGCAGCCGGTTCAAGTTCCAGATACTTGACTCTAGCAGACAGATGTGAGCTGAGGTCTTGGCTAGGCTGTGAGCTGGAATATATGAGTCTTTGCTCTCACCTTGAGAGGAAAAATATTGACTTATCTGACCTGGTTATAATGAACAACTCCTCCAAGATTCAAATGCTGAAGATTAAATACAATAATTATTTTATTAATCCCTCTGAATTGTTTATTTGACCTTATTTAAATCCCGACTCCCCTTCTTCAACGATCAGAGATAAATTAAAGCACTCCCTTTCTAATTCTTAAAATACTTGACTCCAAGCCTCATATTTATGGAGCTATTTTCAAAAAGGAGTTCATGTAATGAAATTGAAGCATCAGATTAGTACCTTGCCAGTTATCTTATTTCTCATGCATGCTTCTACTATACTTTGATTAATATGAACCACTAGCTCTTATTAATATTCATGACATGTTGCAGGATGTTTTTATATACCACATGACATTTGTTATTACCTGCATCTCGTACAATACATTACATTTTTTTTAAGTGGAAAAGCTCATTTGTGAGATGACACAAAATGACTTGCTTAAAGCATGGCGTAAATGCATAAATAACTCTGAGTATAAATTGTATCTGATGCTTGATACATTCAGAATATCTCAGTGAGCAACGACGATCTTTATACAGTCGAGAACCTTGTTTATGATCAACATTGTTGTGATATGGATGTGCTTTTAGCTCAATTGTGGTGTAGTTAACTTAACCAAAAAATCCAAAATGAGAGCAGAAAGTTGGTTGATACCCTTTAAATTGTTACGTTTCGACAACAACAAATAATTACATTTGTATACGTCCCAGGGTGCTGGACAGTCGGGGGGTTTTGGACCTGAGATGAGGTCAGGAGGGGTTGAGGGCAGGGTGAGTGGGGAAAGCCAGCCATTGTTCAAACACTGGCTGGCTTCTCGTGCGCTAATCAATGCATGCATTCGAGGTCATCGGGTTCTTGCCACCATCATTCCCTATGCACGCGCATAATGTCGGCAGTAATCCAAAGACTCCAGAAGTTGCCATTTTCTGACACAGCAGATTATAAGATTTCTGAAGAAATTTCCCATTTCTAGAGTATCAAGCCTTTATGAGTGACCCAGAGAATGGTGCCTATAAAATTACTCACGATTGCTTATTAAGAGGACTTCTGGCCTGATCGTAAACAGTAGGTTAGTCTAGCAAGTAAAATCTCTGATTAATTTTGTTTTTGTTACAGGGGCTAAAGTATTCTTTTCAGACCAATGATCGTTTGTGTTTTGTTATGGAGTATGCCAATGGAGGAGAGGTAAGGAAGGAGTTACACATATTTAGAAAAGATATGAAGATGTGAAAAGCGCTATATCAAATGAAAGGATTATTTATATTATTACTTGTATGTAGAGTGTTTCTTGTGAATATTACATTTCAATAAGGTGGTAGAATACTGCAATAATCCCAGATTATTGAATTATTTTCCTGACTTTTTGGAGTTTGTGTTCTTTTATTTCAGTTATTTTTTCACCTGTCAAGAGAGCGAGTCTTTTCTGAAGACCGTGCCCGTTTCTATGGAGCAGAGATTGTGTCTGCAATAGATTATCTTCATTTTGAGAAGAATGTGGTGTATAGGGACCTTAAGGTAGGAAAGGGGTGTCTCCAATTGTACCATGTTGCTTCCCTTGCCTCTGGTAATTACTGTTCAAATAATTAAAGGATAAAATGGGAACAGTAACATGATTTGTGCTATTGCATAATTGACTATCGCATTTTGCCCACAAAATATACAGTCAATTCACTTTACCGTTATTTCTGTGAAGCATTTTGCGACATCTCTAAGACTTGATAAGGAGCTATATCAAATACAAGGACTATTATTATTTATTATTATTTGTTTCATATCTCCACTTGTGAAACTGAACATGAACCTACTTGTGACTCATCTATATGTTGTCTGGTGACCTTGACTTAGCAATAATTGTCTTACTACACTATTCAGGAGGATATATTCTCTAAATATGCATAACGGGTAGTATTTATATAGTGCCAATCAGAATTATAATTATTATAATATTAAATAATTATTATCATGCTGATTTACCATTATAAGATCAATAACAAAATAGTGAGTGACTTACTTAATATATTTTACTTTTACTCTGTCTTTTAGTTGGAAAACCTTATGCTAGACAAGGATGGCCATATTAAAATAACCGACTTTGGACTCTGTAAGGAAGGTATTACGGATGGGGCCACCATGAAGACGTTCTGTGGAACCCCTGAGTATCTTGCACCAGAGGTGTGTTTCATTTCTTCTGTGAATGCTAACCTCTTTACCTCAGTATTGTCAGTATTCTCAGTATTGTACTTACTTCACCTATTAACCATGAAACTTTGTTTGACATTAAAAATAATATATTCCTCATGCCACTCATTTTAGTAATTTTCATAGTGTGTGTTAGCATGGCCTGAATGCTCCTTGACGTACATTGTTAATGTCCCTATACTCAGTAGCTTTGCCATAAACTACTGAAATAATTAATGATTAGAAATGTGACACCAATGGAGAAACTGATGATAAGTATATTTCTATATTTAGTTTGTTTATGGGAAAGGAACATTGAACTAAGTAAAAGGAGCTTGTGAGAAGTTCAAGATTTATGTGCAGATAGTGAAACTAGAGGTTAAGCAGCTCCTTCCCTCCCTCAGCTGTATTGAATGCAGAAACTATTTATTATCCCATAATCGGTCATGTTAACCTTGTATGTGATGATGATGCAGTCAGTAGCAATTGCCAAATGCTGGAAGCTGGCAGGAGAACAGTATAGCAGAACTATAGCAGTTTATAGAGTGAAACCATTGACTTAGAGACATTAACAATGTATATCAAGGAACATTGAAGTACTGTTTGATTCCTCACTTAACTTTGGGAGAAGGCCCTGAAAATATCTGCAAGATGCAAAAGTAAAGCGTTTTCAGTGTTCTGGTGACTAATTTAGGAAAATCACCCTTTATTGTAACTGTTAAAAGTAGCATTCACTTTGCTTTTTAGACATCTTTTGAGTCGGGCATTGGAATCCATAATGGTGGTTTCTGTTTACACAGTTGTTGGTATAGTTGTTTTTAGCTGCATGTTGGAATTTGGTGCATGGTTAGTTGTATCTTGGAAATGTGAGCTTCTAATTATCAAAGGCTTCAATGTTTATAGCTGCTGTGGCTTCTCTTGTAAATTGTGTTGGACAGCTGTCACACATTGTTCCTGTGATATTCTAGTGCTGCCCATTTCAACGGACTCTAGTTTTCTCATTGTTTCAGTGAAATGCACAAATGGGGATGTGGTGTGTTCGTTCTGTGGATACCACCCAGACTTCCTTTATTTTTTCAGCTGAGTTATTTAACAGCAGTCTGTGATGAATTGGAGCCACTTTTGTTGTTGGCACCTCATGGAACAAGTTAAAACCCTAACATTCATCATTCCTTTAGAAGACCCACCACCATGGGAAAAATATTGCCGTTTTAAATACAATGGAGCCATATTAATTCATGTTTGAACAATATAGTTGATATTACCTTAATCCCCCCAAATTAAGTACAATAAAACCTCTAAACTATAAAAATCTGGATAACAGTGTGGTAGAAAGATCCACAATACAGCATAAGCACCTCTCGCCTTGGTGATAATGGGAAAGTGCTTGCGTTTGGATACCAATGATATATCTTGCTGGGCTTTTGCGTTGAAACGAGGTGCCTGATTTACTTTGCAGTGTTTTTTCCTGTGCCGAGACCCTTCAGAGGTTTGCGCATGCTCAGACCCAAGGTGGCTCCTGATATCACTGCTTTACAAATGTTAATGTGAGTAATGCATCTCACAAGTGAGAGAACCTGGGTTCGATTCCGGGCAAGGCAAAATTTTAAGCAAGATTCCTTATTCCACACACTTTTGTTTACCTAGAAGTAAGTAGGAAGCCGGTCAATCAATCCATGACTGTTTGTGGGGCACTGCTATGCACAATTGGCTGCTGCGTTTCGCCCACAAAAATAGTCAGTCCACTTTACAATATATTCTGCAAAGCGCTTTGAGACGTCTCAACAACGTGATAAGGCTCAAATATCAAATACGAATATTATTATTGGACAATGAGGATAGAGCTTCCGTCTAGCAAGAGTGTGCATATTGCGGAGCTTTGAGGCAAGGTACAGGTTTTGAATATTACTAGGCTAACCATTTAAACAATTTGATCAAGTGATAAGGAAGACCATTGGGAGGCTGAAATGGTTGTGCAAAATAAATTACAAAAATATTTTGCAGCTTTTTTTCATATGGTATTTAGTTTTCTGCACACAGTTGGAGAAAATGGTTGGAAGTAAAAGAAATGAAGCAAAACTTATTGGCAAGACAATACGGTGCCAGAATGCATTTAACAAGCAGCACAATGTAGCTTGTGAATGGTCAATAGTAATGTGCACATTTCTACGTCACATCCACAGTGCTCAGTGTATTGTATGTGATTTCATCTGGACATTATTACTTCTTGGAATAGCCAAGCCGATCTAAGCCAAATCATTTCAATGGAAACATAGTGCACAGTTTTCTAAATTTCATACTGAAATGCACCCCTGAGTAGGTGAAGGAATGTGCACCAGCTGTGAAAGATCACAAAGAAAGCAAAATTTGTTGTGGTGGAAGTGATAACAGGAGAGTGGCTGTGGGAAGTAGAAGAGGGGGAAGTGCAATAATGAGATATGTGATCAGCCGAGCGAGGACAACTGACTGATTTCCCACGTCATTTTTCAAAACTTCCCAAACTTGTATTATTCTGTGGCTCATTCCTGTATGTATTATACTCACTTGCCCTGTGGATGCTCCCTGCCTTTTGCCTCTACATTTGAGGAACAACATTTGAGAGCTTCTGTTTGCAATTTGCTGTCCTGTACTGGAGCATCAACATGCATTAGCCTGTGCTACCAAGCACTCGGTGTTTGAAACATTGATAGCTCCAGACACTATTTCTAAGCATTTGTCTTAAAGTAGTTGATTTTAATTCTTTCCACTCTGGAATTATTTATTTATTGTAGTTTTTGTCACATATTCATTGGTTTTGTGAGTTCCTGCATGGATTTTCCCCACGAACAACTGTACATTTGTGTACAATTTAAAGAATGCTTTCTCTTGTGTTTTTGGTAATTGTTATGAATCTAGTTTTCATCGCTGGCAACTCTACCTGAATTCTTTCATCAATTTGATCTTTGCTGCAGTCGATCCTGGTGCTATAACTGTGGATGGTGTAGAGTGTCCACTCTGTTACTAAGTGATGGTCCAGTGCAATATAACTTGATGGTGATCCCTGGGTAGTAAAGGGCAATTGGAAATTGAACATACTAGAGTTAGTATGATATGTGTTGGGATCTCTCCATGTGGGGATTTGAGAAGTGACAGCTGTGGAGCTCACAGTCAAATGCACTTCAAGCCAGTTTTGCAATGGAACCACCTGAAAAAGGGGGTGGGGGGAGAGCGAGGGTATTTCCAATTGAGAGAAACTATACCAACTACCACCCATTTGAAAGTTGTGGCTTTTAACACACGATTTCTAATGGTTTCGGTTTCGTTGATCAGATCATCAAGACTTTTGGGACAAGGGTGACACCTTCCAGGCAGTAAAATCTTCTGATTACTCTTAAGAGTTGAGTGTAGCTCCTGGAATTCTGGCAGGCAAGCAGCTGTGTTTCTCTTATACATATATGGGGCAGCTGTACACCCAGCTGTCGCTTGGTTTGAATCATGCAGGCAGGAGCTGCTGTAAATAGACCTGTGTGTAAGTAATATAATACCTGCTCGGATTCTTGATGGCAGACGAGTTCTGCTGTTTCTCCGCAAACCTTATTAAGAATTAAAAACAATTATCTCTGCTACAAATGCAGATAAAAAGATCAATCACAGCACTCCTAATGCACCAAATCGCTTTCCAAAGGTCTCTTAAATTGTGTGAGATTCAAGAAATACGTTTTTGCTTTAAATTAAAGTTTGCAGGTTAGGTAGGATTGTAACTCCAAAAAAATGTTGACTGGCTTTTCGGAAAAAGTGAAGTATTAAACTAGTGGATGGGCTGTATTTGCAAGTATATCTAAGTATATATTTAGACATTTGCTAGTTGAATTTAGCATTAAATAAGATGAATTACCAGGCTGTTTTATTTTAGATCAGTTTTATAAAATCCATTAATATCTCTTTGAAAATAATGGAAATTGATAGTAAAACGGACAGGCACGTTTTCTGGAGGACAGTACATCTGTTTGTGTGTTTTATGGGGAAACTGCCTTGCTTTAAGTACTGCAGAAAGTATTCCATGTTGCTTATATTCTATTATAAGGATTACAGTTTATTTTTACTTCAGATCTGGAACAGACATTCAATTTTTTTATTGTTGCTGATAAAGATAGTTTTTAATGAAGTCCATCTTTAACTATTATTCAGATCTATTTTTCTATAACTGTAATCCTGTAATGTGCGATACTGAATTATTACAATCTCCAAAAACGTTTTTAATCTCATTTTTTTAACAATGAAACCAGTGAATACTATACTGAATAAAGTGATGTGGGTGCTGAATGAACCCTGCCTGTCTTGTATTAGTTATCAGGCTCAGATAGGTCTGTTTCTGAATTGGAGCAGAAGCTGTTTCTTCAGTGAACTATGTGTACCTTATCTATCAATTCATGTTACTTGACGTCTAAAACATATTTGAACATGTGTGAGAATTTATCTTTTAATAGGTTTTCTCAAATATCTTTTTCATAATACTGTATACATATTGATGTTTCACTTTTCCTTAGATTTAAAAAAAACTAACAAAGTCAGAAACCGTTTTCCTTTTTAAAACCGAATCCTGAAAGCACAGCTTTAACTATCACATAAAGTTGACCTGAAATGTTTCAGTCAATTCCTCTAACCTCCCAGAATAAATTTTAAATCCTCGAGCTTTTAAAACTTGTTTTTAAACTACGATTGCCTTTCACTAGTACTATTCCAAATTGTTCAACAACTGTAACAGTTTTAATACTGTGTAATTTGTTACCTCTCTAACACTTAGTAACTAAATCCCTTTTTTTAAAAAAGTATTTAGGATTTCGATGCCTAATCCTAGAACAATAATAAAGCATTTAGTTTGAATTGTTTCCATTCAGAATTGTTATCAAATGGACTCTTTAGCTAGTGGGCCATATTCTGTCTGAGGCTCTCAGATTTATTTTTAAATCCATCATACAGTTTCTATGACTCCTTTCTGATTCATACACTAGGAAAGGTTTTGCAATTGTAATGCAGAATTATCTCATTTCACTGATTGGCCAATATGGATGTCTCAGTTTTATTATTGTACTCCTTTCCAGTATTTCAGAGCAATGCATTCATCTGTTCTGACCTGTAGTCATATGACCAGAGAACTGGGATGTTGACTATGGAGTGTGATGTCACTTCAGTTCATGTGCTTCAACCATTCTCTGTCTGCTGCGCAGTTCGAGGTGACAGTGTGAAATCAGATGCCTGCTCCATCTCCATAGCAGCAAGTAATCTCATGTTAGAAATGCACAAAGCCCAAAATGTCCTACATAAAGGGGGTTGAATATATTGTAAATGGACTGTGGGGTTGTGGTGGGGGTGGCAAGAGAGGATGTCCACCCTCTCCCATTTGTCTTGATTTTATTTTTCTTACTTTCCTCGGTGTCGGAAGTTCTAGGGTAAAACATTGGATCAGAAATCTGGATTCCATGTGGATTACTATCTTTAAATGTTTAGAAACAAAGCTTAGTTGTACCTCCCTCAGTACTTTTCTGACTTCTTAAAAATTAATTTAAATTGACCTAGTCATACGTGGAGTTTCAAGTAGGTTGAATTATTGTGACAGCTTTTCCAGAGAACTCCCGTATTGGGTGTCAGAAGAGTTGTGTTGCAGCAGATGTGATATCTGCTTCAGTGCTAACTGTTGCAGTACGGTTTTCATTGGGACATTATAGCCTGACCCCTCAAGTTGACAGGACACCCAGGTCACCACCCCCTGTAGCTACCCACTAGGACAACCCGGAATATGTGATTTACCCCTCCCCCCCACCAGACATGCTGCGGCTTCCACTCAGTACTGCCCAGTTTGAGCACTAACCCAATTAAGCAGAGTGGGTCCGGAGACTATAGCAATCCCTGCTTTCTGACAAAATATATTAACACTACCATGATGCCCGTTCCTTACATTTAATGCAGAGATGATTGCTGTCTTTGACAATTGTGTAATTGCGTGTCTGTTTATAAACATGCAGTAAAATGATATCCCAGTCAGCTCGGTGCACTTAGATGTGAGTGATTTGGATATGAATGGTATCATTGTAATGCATGGTAAATGGGGAAGAAAATCTTGCCTAACAACTTTAAAACTGATATGGATTGTTTATCCAATTGCAAATGCCGTTGATGAATAGTACAGCTATTTGCCCAGCAGCTGTGCTCTGCCATTGCTTCCTAGTAGAATGGCTGTGTTTGGAGATGAGTGGTCAGGTCACTAGGAGATGAAAAGGCAAATTGGGAGTTGGAAAAATAAATCCAGGGAATCTGTTTAAGGAATGTTTGATCTAAGATGTTGCGCCTTTTTTTCCAGGTTTTGGAAGATAATGACTATGGCCGAGCTGTGGACTGGTGGGGCCTGGGAGTTGTGATGTATGAAATGATGTGCGGTCGCCTTCCTTTCTACAATCAGGACCATGAGAAGCTGTTTGAACTCATTCTAATGGAGGAGATCAGATTTCCACGCACTCTGTCCCCCGAAGCTAAATCTCTTCTCTCTGCGCTGTTGAAGAAAGATCCGAGACAAAGGTGTGTGCCAGTTCTCCCTGGATTGCAGCACTTGTATAATTAAGGCAGCCCAACCAGCAACACTCCTTACACTGAACAATGGGTGCTCTCTATCTGAGGCGGAAAGCTGAGATGGACTCTAAAGTTAGAATTTCAATTGGGCAAAAAAATTGCATGTTTCCTTAATTATTCCGCACCCTCTTTTGAAATGTTCAGGATTTATTTAGTTTTGAAAACTTCTTATCAGTTCTGATTGTTGTCCCTGACTTTATGAGTTATTGGTTTACTCCCCCACTCTTCTCCAGAAAGACTAACTCAATTTTTCCTTTGACTGTGGTACATTTTCACAGGCACTGCCCACCTGTACCTCATCCAAGTTGCCTTTAGTATTGTGTCAGTGAATGTTGTCAGGCTGCTCAGATCACAGCCTAGCACCATTACGCCCTCACTTGAAATCTACATATTTGTACCTCCAGCAAGAGCCATTTTACGTACATAAATCTTTATCCTGAATTGGCATATTACTTCATTGTTTGCAGCCAGTTACAGCCTAAGTGATTAAATTGAAACAATCAAAGTTCCCCTTGCATTTCAATGTTTTAATAGCATGTTAACATGAAACTTATTAAATTAGTCACATGCGATAACGACTGAGGTACATTTCTTGAATGTATGTTCATGTTCCATAAAATCAGTCCATTAAAAGTAATGCACTGTCTGGTGTGTCATTTATGTTTAACAGGTTGGGTGGTGGCTCTGATGATGCAAAGGAGATAATGCAACACAAGTTTTTTGATGGAATTGAGTGGCAAGATGTGTATCAGAAAAAGGTGATGTAAAGACATAATTTTATTCAGTTTATGATGCACAATTTATTGAACAGGTGTCTGAATTTGTCCACTGAAGTGTTCACTTCATACTCACCTTAGTTGATGAGGTGGTGCAGAAGGACTTGCTTGCCGATATTCACCCTGAGAGTTCACTGAAAGCCACTCATTGTAGTATGTTTGAGACCAAAGCTGACAGTGTGAGGAATCAGATATAATTCTGCATTCTACCACTGTCCAGTTCCGCAGTGTCTATTTAATTCTTCAGATGAATTTATTACAAAACCTAGCTAACAGCACGTAGGTTTAGGCAGCATAGATGTTGTCTTTCCAGACTCTCATTGTTGCTGAGCCACTTCAGCCTATCTATACAGTGTACTGAAATTGAAGGTAAGAATGGGGGTAATAAGGAGCTAAGGAGTTCATCAGTCTTAAGGTCCTGCTGAAGAATGAATTAGAGTAGAAAAGAGTAATTTGTACAAGGAGAAACTTGATCATGAAAGGCAATGCATTGTAGCTTAGGAGGAATAACTTAGCTACCGCTCATTTTTATCTCCATTCTATAACATACAGTTTCTTTCTCACTCTGATATTATGTCCCACTGATCCTATCTGCTCCAAAGCAAGAATTGCCCTGGAACAGTCTGGTTGAAATCAGGTGCTGTGGGTGCAAATGCAGATAATATCATCCTGGGACACAGCACATTAGTGTTTGAGATGCCATTCATTTAGTGTTAACTGTGACTTGGTTTGATTGTTTGCTCCTGATGTGCCAGTGCAGTGAAATAAGTGTCTCTTGTAAATCATACAGCTTATTCCACCATTTAAACCTCAAGTGACATCTGAGATTGATACAAGGTATTTTGATGAAGAGTTCACTGGGCAGACGATAACGATCACTCCTCCGGATCAAGGTATTCTAACTAATTGCAGTTTGTATGTGTGTTTGAGTCCATTATTAAAGGAAAGTTTAATTGTCTAATAGCAACATTGGTTGTAGTACAAAATAGCAGCAGTGTACATCTCACTCTATATTGAGTTAACCATGTGCTTAAACACCAATGTCTTTATGGTATCAAATAATTTTTGATAATAACTTCAGTCAAATTTATCGGAAGAATTAAAAAAAAATCTTATTTTTAAACAGATGGGAGTATGGACTCCATTGACAATGAGAGAAGACCACACTTTCCCCAGTTTTCTTACTCTGCCAGTGGAAGGGACTAGGGACTCTACTGCCTAAAAAAAACACTCTTAAAGAAAATCTGATTGGAAGGACTTGCAGCTGTCAGTCACGCGATTTGGAGTTATATCTGTATTATTGGAGGGTATCTTACTAAATGTTTGTAAGAATCTGGAAAACGTATGTTGGTAGGTTCTACAAATCCTTTTCCTTATTTGAGGTATGAAAATGGAAAACTGAACTACTTTTTTCAACACGCTTTTATACAAAAGTGACTCCATTTAAAGTGTACAGATGATGGCATGTATTTAGAGTTCACTTGAATTATTTTTGTTGGCAGAGTGCTAACTGATGCTTTGCTTTTTTTGGGTGGAGGGGGGAGGGGGCAGTTATCTCCATCCCTGAAGGTGCTGACTCTTGCTGAGGTACTGTGTTTATGGGTGCCGGCCACCCTCTGGTACCTCACCTGAATGGCAAGTCTTCATTTGTGAACCCAAACCATGAGACTTGGCAAGCTTTTGACCATTGAGGACATCACAGTGGAGTTTAATCCTGTTTTCACCCAACATCTGCACATGCACACTTTCAGCAGATGTTGCTAGACAGTGATCAGGAGCAGGATTCCTGGATTTTTTTTGCTCCTTCCCTAACCAGGGAGCACTGAGGGAAATTGTAGCACCCTAGCTATTGTCCTACTGTAACCATCATTATTATCATAAATATTTAAGGTCAACAATGGAGCCACCCAACATACAGTATTGACAAGATTTAAAAATCCTGTGAGAAAACATTTCATTTTAATTGGTTTATTTAGAGATCACCTTACCTATGAATGCAGATAAAGAGCCATTACTGTGGTTTCTTCTGGCCACTTGTGTGAAAAATCTGACTAATTATGTAGTTAGTGCAATTATGTATCTCTTAGGTCTGCAAATCAGACATTTCACTCTCACTTACAGGTCTGATAGACTGTAAAGGTCAAAATATGCAGTGGTCTTGTGTCCAACCAGAACATCTCTTGCAATGTGTTTACCTCCTCTTCAACGTGTGAACAGCAAATGGCCTCAGTGAGGCACCGCAACAGCTGCAGCAGCAGGAATTTTTGCTGTGGTTTGTGAAAATATCTGAATCCAGAATCAGAGCATGCATATCTGTTTTAAACATCTTCTGAAATGCTACATTGAATGATATAATGAAGCAATTTTATTTAAAATTTTGCTGACTTCAATGCACTTCACACAATTGTGTTCTCTTAATGCCAGTTCCCTCCTTGGTTCCAGAATTCCTTTTGTGCCATGTGATGGGCATTGTTTGTTTTTATTTTCACTTTTTGCAATTGCCATTTATCAGTGTTTCAAAATTTGAAAGCCTTTTGTGAATTGTCTTTCCCATATTTAGCAATTTGGTATTTGAAGATCAATGCTAATGGGTATTGTTTAGTCTTAATCAACATTTTCTCTTTTCTGTTGTCGTATCATGTGTCTCATTTGATTCTTGTGAAAAGCAGAAGAAAATCTGTCTTAACAATTCAAATTGCACAGAACCTATTTGGTCATTAGTCATTTTTTTCAGAATACTTATTTTGTATTCCAGCTCCATTAAAACAGCTAGGCTGAAACTGCAAGATTGCACTGCACTCGAGCTTGCTATCAATGCAGGATTTGCAGAATGGATGGTATATTCTTGATAGCATCAAAACACTGTCCTTCAGAGTACTGAAGGGACTAAGATATTAACTACCTAACTGGGCACTGGTAAACAAAACCAGTTACCATTGAATTTTGTACACTGTACTGTAGTATTTTTACATGTATAATACTTTTTTTTGCCATAAATGCATAAATAAAAGATGTAACATCCAAAGTCTCTTTGATTTGAAAACATGCACAATGGTATGTATGCCAATGACTGTAAAAATGGGAAGACTAAATGAGCATTTTTTTCCATGAAGTAACTGCATTAAATATTTTTGTTAAGATTGGGAATTTTCATGCTTTGATTTTATTGTCAAAATTCTAAAAATAATGTCCATGAGTAAGTATTTCAGCTGCTAACAGTATTTATTCACAGGTTCAAACAAAGCAGTTGATGTCTCTTGGGGCAGACCTTGCTGTGAGGAGACTTGCCTGGCAAAGTGAGGCACATTTGATAGTTTACCAGCCTGTCTTGACTCAGCACTGAGCTGTAGACCAAAGCCCTAACAGGTAGGGTGGTCCTACCTGGGCAAGTACTGCTGCAATGCTTACTATTTTTAAACATTCTTACAGAACTGTCCATATCAGCTGCTTTTACAGTTGCCTGAAACTTGACACTTGTCATAGTCATCACTCACTGAAAAGTTTTTTTTTAAAAAAAAAGCTTGTCCTTGCCACAAAAATGCTTGATGCATCCTTTTCCAAGTCGATTAACTTGTGCTGTGTGGTAGTTTAGCCATCCCTGTTTGGCACTCAATTCAGGTCCAGGTGGTAAGACAGACAGACTATTCTCTTGAGCCACTAGAATATGACATCTGCTCAGCAACCAGATGTTACTTGCAATGAAGTTGAAACCATTTTGTGCTGATTCTAGGTATGGGAAAGGCTTAAACTGGAACAACTGCACAATAGAGCAAGTTTCCACCCCTCACCATTTAACTATTCCATTGTGGTGCTTTTAATTTCTGTTTTCTTTAGAAATCAGAATGTAAGTGAAATACAACTATTAGGTTTAATTTATGCCCCAAGAATTCTCACAATTGCTGGTCAAATATATAATTTTGCATTTTAGGTGCAACTCCTGCTTTCCTTTCACTGTTTGCTACCTCTGTCTGACCTGATTATTAGGATAGAACTCTATCACTTCAGCTGAGCATAAGGTATGCAAGTCAAAAAACACTAACTACCACTCAGGAGAGTTAATGTTCTTATTGATGTACTGGTCATTCACTTCATGGGTGTTTATGGGATATTGTGTACAAATGGCTGTCTTCACCTACAAATGGCCACTAGACTTTACAGTAAATCCTGTTGGGAGCTTTGAGACTGCCTAAAGTGAGGTTATTAAATGCAAGAATTATGGAAAAATACCATCAGTGCCTCTTTTTTAAAACTCGTATAGTTACAATTAACTAGCTTGTTTCCTGTTAGGAAGCATTGTGTATTGAATGAGATCTGGAAGTTGTCACATAAGTGACTTGGATGCAGATCTTTTTTCTGTACTGTATCAATGTTAGCAAACTAATGGGCTGTCCAATTTTTTGTGTTGCAATATGCGAAGTATAGTTTCACATGACTCTTTCCAGTAGTTCACTTACTACAGTAAAAGACCACTAATATTTAATTCCTGAATTAAATTACAAACCTAAAAGTACAGAACACCAAAATTTAAGAATCTGAAAGTAAATTTGCCAAATACTTGAAATGAATCAAATCCAGTGGTGATCATAAAAACAATTATTGGGGTTTTAGAAAGTAGTACCCCAGGTCTACAATATAGCCATGATAGTTTGGCATAATAGAATGAATAATCCTTGCATTTGATACAGCACTTTTCACATCTTCTAGACATCTCAAAGAGAATATACTGTAAAGTGAATCGACTATTTGTGGGTGAAATGCAGCAGCCAATTGCACACAGCAGTGTCCCACAAACAGTCGTGAATTGAGTGACCAACCCCAGAAAAGTGATCCACCAATTGACTTTAACAACTGGGTTTCTACTTACTGCTAGGTAACCAGGCTTGCGGAGTAAGGAAACTTGCCCAATATTTTGCCCTGCATAAGAATAATCTACATTTGTGGGGTTGCTGTGCCTATAATAGCATTTCACCATCTGGTGTACATTGCAGCTCTCTTGTCTGAAATTGGTATTGAGCAGCAGGCTTGTAGTTTTGAGAATTCACCTCACATAGGGACAGCTTAATTCTACACCACAATTCAAAACTAGAACCCAGCAGTGAGAAGTTTCAAAGCCACCTGTCCTTACAATATTACAATCATTTTATTTTGAAACAGAATGGCATTGTTTGTAACTAAAATTTCTGTCAATACAAGGGGGGTTACATAACTTGAGAATCCATTGCATTGTTAGTATGTACAGTATCTGGGTTTCTTTTGGGATGAAACTGTTTTATAATGAATGGTAGGCAGACTCTTGTCATTACCCACTTGCAGATACAGCTGCACATGAAATGCCACTCAACTGTGTTCTGTAAAGATGTGATGCATTTGGCAGGAGGGAGGCCTGGAGAACAAAAAAGAAACCCTAATAGTTATAATTAACTGGTCTGAACCACTTCAGCATTCTGCTGTAATTGGGGAGTGGTACATAGACCCATTTTGGTCAAGAGGTCAGGACCCTTAGAGTGCCTGCTGGGTGTGTAATCTCTGAAACAAAGGCATCAGACAGGCTACATTGCAAACCAGCCATGTTGTTCTTTCCTATCCAGAGACACAAAATATTTCATGGGGCTGAATTTGTTCAGAAACTATGCATAAAAGCAGTTGTGAATGACTGACAGATTGAATCATTCTTTGTCTTGCAGAAGTGGGAACATGTGTCAGCTGTCATGGCATCTGCTCTCAGTGGAGTTGATGGGCTCAACCACTGAGCTCAGCCCTTGAGCAACAGATTGCAAGCCCCAGTTCTAAGAATCATTCATTCACTTTACACATTTTGATAAAAGGGATGAATTTTAATAAATAGAATCACTTCCCACAACTCCCAAAACACAAAATAAAGCTGAACTAAAGTACCGAAGAGAACAAAACATTTACATCTGCATAACCTGTTCCACATTTACTGACAGATGTGGGTACAGTAACAGAAATTCTTGGGAGACATTTTATTGCTAAAAAATATATTTTGGATGGACACTAAGAAAAACCTCTGCTGTATATAATGCAAGAAAATCATGTAAATATTTAAAATGTGTATCAGCAATAACTGGGTAAGTATTAAACCCAGTTGATTATGTGCTTCATTTTGTGCCTTTGGTTAGATTTGTTCACTTCCTCCATAAATTAATAAAATCCAAACTCATATTTCTAGATAGTCCTCACAGAAACCTGCAATTTTTAAGCTCAAAATCCACAGCACTTTACATTAAACTCAGCAGTGAAACACATTCTTGTTAATTTGAATTCATTCATGAGGCAAAGAAATGTTATTTGCCTCCTCACATTATAGCTATTTTCTATTTCCTTGGGATAGGTATATGTTTTTTTTAAAAAAAAAACTCCAAGCCATTTACATACCAATATTTGGAAAAAGTCTTTCAGTACATTGATAAACATTTATTGCATCTTGTTTAGAAGGTGTTACTTATATAAATTAAGTTATAACTTTGCGGAATATGATTTAACCCATAAACTTACTGAAGCAGGCTTCCACTGCAGTCGATTCCATTCTCAGCTGTGCTCTGGGAAATACCCCCCCCCCCCCCCGCAACCACACCACTGTTTAGATCGACATTCATCTGGGAAGCAGGTGGCCCGCCTGCCCTCTGGGCCAAAGCTGGTACATAAGAGGCTGAGTAGGAACATTTCGGGGGGGGGCGCGGGGGAAAGATGGAAACTACTAAAGAAAAACCCATACCATTGAGGGTTTAAAACCTATCCACAAACAGGCAATTGTCCAGAAGGGAGACTACAGTATATACTCAACCCTGTATTCACAAAATTGTTTTCAAACGTTTCGATAGATAAAAGTTGGTCCAAACTCCTGATTACTTTTACATAACAAACTAAGCCTGAGCTCTTCTCCAAAAAAAAAAGTATCAAATCATGTCAGTTTAGATCACATATCTGGGTCACACAATTAACTTTAGAGTGGATCAAAATCCAATCAAACCAAAGGAGGAGGTTGTTACCCAGTTCTGCACTGCCCTCTAGTGGCAGGAAAAAGTATAATCTGAACAAACCGGCAGGAAACTGATTCACCAACTCTTGCTCCAGGTTGACAAAACTTGTACATTTGCAATAAACAATGCAAAAGTATCAAAAAAAACAAGTTCTTCAGTGTGATGCAGAAACAAACAAGGGAGGAAAGGGGGTTCATCTCACCACTGGGGATTTGAACGTTCCAGGGCCTTGGGACATGAAAGGTTGCTATACAAATGTAACTTTGTTGTTTTCTCAACAACTATTCACATTTGTAATAGCACCCACACATCCGTTGTCTGAGATAATCTTATTTGCAGTGTCCATAACTGCTAAAGACTGTTTTGATTTACCACGCAAAGCCATCTTCATTTGGAGGCTGTTTATAAAGAGACTGCAGAATGAATGTTCCGTTCAACCAGGATTAACTTTGACCCAGAAGTGGAAAGACAATGTTATAACTGATGCATCAAATAGACTTACTGCGAAATATTATAAAAGCAGCAGGAGCTAATATAGGAGTTACTCAAAAATTATAAAAGCAAATTTTATTTCAGAATTATACAAATACAAAAATGACAATTACAAATACTATATTACAAGATAGCTTGCTTCCATTTGCACACATTGAAAAACATGTTTGTTGAATACTTGCACTGAAAGCATAAAAATCCTATACAAATAGTGTCAGTCCAGAAACGACTTTAGTGTCTTTATTATCCCCTGTATGAGACACAGTCATAGCAGATCACCTTATCGTAGCTTTCATTATAACTGGAAGAAAAAGAGGGAGATCAAACAATGTAGTAGAACAGTTATTAGAATGAATAGTTTGCTTATTGAGACAGGAAGTTGAATTTTTGAGATAAGCAAAATCAGTTCACACATTCTGGCTCCAAAAATATACTACTTTGGAACAAGTTTCTAAATCTTCGTAGCTATCAATACAGTACATACCAGCTTCAGAGGGCTGTAGCTCAAGATAAGCAGGTAGGCAGACACCTGCATTGTACATAAGGAAGCTAATAGATTCTGACCTACAATCATTGAAGCTTTTTGGTGGTTAATTAAGCCATTTTTAATTATAGTATAAGAATTGGTTTTATAAAGAGATATTTCAAGAGGAAAATAAAAATGACTAGTTACTCACTCAGCAACTGAACATACTGAACAGCACATTCTCATACAGCTGTCACAAACTTTACTGCAGTGTTGGCACATTAAACGATCACACTGCGAGCACTGTTGCGTGATATTGGAAAACTTCAGACAGGAGAAACAATTTGTTGCTGTCTGCTTGTTGGGTGCTACTGTGAACAGAGAGGTCAGTCAGTGTTTTCGGCCAAACTTGAGCAATACACAAGTAAATGTTCTAACCAGCTGGACCTATGCAGTTTTAAGTCACTGATGACAGAGAGAGGTATTTCTGTTCTCAGCATCACTAATGTAAGGAAACAAAGGAAAACACATCAACTTGCATTTATATAGCATCCTTTAGGCAGGGTAGCATCTCAGAATACCAGATACTGATATTACAGCCACTGTCAAATGCTTCAATGAACTACTGGCAGAGGCTTACAGGAAGCTTACCTTTCAGCTGCTGAGTACATAGTCCAGAGACTGGGGAAATGCCACAAACAACTGCTAACTCGCATTTAAAATCTTGCTATTAGGCTATTTGCTATCTTGAAGACTTATACAAATTAAAACATTTAGTAATCATGGTCAGTTAAGCTGAACTTCATACATTTACACATATTTATGGTTATCCTTCGGGTTAATTATTCCATAGAACTAAGAAATGTTGCCTTAACACTATTTTTCACCCAACTTCTGCTCACTTACATAACTCAACCATTCCATTAAAAAAATGGCTTCAAGTTCTGAACTGGAAAACTACCGAGTGAATGAATTACACCCACTATTCCAGCAGCAGCAAATCATTCACTTGGCATTGACTCTTGTCTATTTGAAGACCTCAAAGCTGCCAATTGATTTGTAATAATAAGCTTATAAAGCCTGTGCCTGTACTTACATCTTGGTAAAGGCAATGAAGCCTTCATTAGTCGGCCATCACTTCCAAGAAATGTTTGTCCACGGAGTAAATCGCATCTTTCATACCCATTGCAAACGTCCCCTGGTCCACTTTGTGGGGAAGGAGCTTCACTGGGACTGCGCAGGTGGACCACTGTGCAATTCTCTTCTGAGTTACCGTTCCACATGTCCCCCATGAAAGCTTGTGCGCCGTTAAATAGCAATTTCTTGGTTTTTTCTGCAACGAGAGTCAAAAAGGAGAAGATCGCAAAGCACGAACTTCGGTTCGGAAATGCCGCGTTTGGTTTACGAAGTCGCTATAAAAGCGTCGGCAAAAAGGTACTGTTGCTGTACGACGCAGTGCAATAAGGCCCCGAACCCCGCGCCTCGGCAGTCACACACTGCCACCGGTCGAAGCAGCGGCGGCCCCAATGCGATGCAATTACATTTTAGCGCCGAGTTCCCAACTTCCCGCGTCTTCAGGCGCAGACTTCCAACTCTCTGGGCGGGAGGGAGGGAGAGGGCCCCCTCTGCGGGCGGCTCCCGGAGGCCCCAACTCACCGTACACTTCGCGTTTGTACTTCTCTCCGAAGACTCCCTCGTTTATCTCCTTCTGGGTCACCCGGACCTTCCTCTGCAGCGGCGCCGCGTCCCCGAAAGGATTGGTTCGCTTCATCCTCGAGACAGGGACCGGTCGGTCAGTCCGGAGCCTGACTCCCGCCTTTCCACGCGTGACCTGCGACCTCCGCACTTTGACCCCACGCCCCCCCTTCGCGTCACGCGGCCTAATTTGAATACAAGTCTCACGTGATCTCACGGGGCGGGGGAAAAAAAAAGGGGCGAGTCACGTGGCCCATTGTCCCGGTGATTGACAGGCCCGCGGGTTCGCACTGGCTGCCGGGAGGGGCGGGGGCGGGGCGCTGGGCTCCCAGAGCACGTGATCTCCACCAAGTCGCAGCGGCCGCCGCGGTCTGAGCGAAGCCTCGGGCACCGGGTGTGGCGCTGCACCTACTCGGCTCAGGAGGCGGGTGGGGCGGGTGGTGGGGGGGAAACGAGGGAGAAACCCACCCCCCAGAGTCAAGACAAGTCATCCGACGTGAAAAGCCTCACACCCAACCTCGCGGACACCGCCGCCGCCGCCGCGAGGCAACACCCGCGGGGAACCGGTCCGTTACTGGCGTATCGGTTCGAGCGCGAGAGGCCCGGGGGCCGCCGGGCCAACCTCCACACAAGTTTCCTTACTCCGCACACGCCTTCTTGTTTAAGAGAGCAGTAAAGTGGGATGTTAGTCGATCGGCGGGTCGCTTTCCGGGAGGTCATGATAATAATAATAATAATAATAATAATAATCCTCGCATTTGATATAGCGCTTTTCACGTCGGGAGGACGTCCCAAAGCGCTTCACAGAACACACTGTAAAGTGAATTGACTGTTATATTTGTGGGCGAACGCGGCAGCCGATTGCGCACAGCAATGTCCCACAAACAGTCGTAGATTGAAAATGACCAATTTATTATTGTTTTTGGTTTTGGAGGGATTATTATTAGGCTCTGTGTGGAGTAAGGAAACTTGCCCAAGGTTTCGCCCTCTGCCTGGAATTGAACTCAGGTCTCTCACTTGCAAAGCGAGTGCTCTAACCACTGAGCCACAGGACTCCACATACCTCTGTAAACGAGCACATGAGGCGGTCACTCGGTCCGAGTTTCACCCACAGAATGCCCAGTCCGTCCACGTTACAGTATATCCTGTGAAGCGCTTTGAAAAGTCTTCAATGGTTTTCCTCAATTCAGAAAGCAAATTTTAACAGTTTAAAAGAATTGCCTTCGCACCACTGAGGGGAAGTGCGAATGGAAAGCGATGCGTCGCTGCCGTCTCCACAAGATGGCCTTGTGCCGGATGGAAAGCGCATGCAGCTCGTTTCCAGAACTCTCTCCAAATAAATGCGTGAGGTAGAGTCCATAATGACAATTTAAAGACTTCTACATTGAGTCTTAATTATTATTAATGAAGCCCCATGGGGCCCTGGTGCACGAATAGGTTATGGCCACCCTTCCCGATTCTGGTATCTAAAATTTCGCTTACCTTTACCATCTTGGAAATGCTGGAAGTCATCGGGAGAGGAGCAGGAGAGCTTCAACATTATTTAAAAAAAAACTGCTGGTACACCATGCCGGCCTGCACTGGCCCACTTCGAGCCCAGGAAAAGGGTAAGTATTTCCCAAAGGGCTCAGATATTTTTGGGAAGGGGGAGATACCTTTTCGCTCCCACAAGATTCCACCACTAGTGGGTTGGGCCCCCATAATGATGTCGAGGCCCTGGCATGACTGCAAAACTTGCAACCGTGTAGTTACACCACTGTTACCCCCCTCCCTGCCCATGGCTGATCTCAGTATGACCCAACAATAGGTTAATAAACTCGCCTCAGTCCTGCTAAACTGTCCACAAAATTACATGTTTACTTTTCCCTTCAAGTCGGTGAGGTATGGTGCAATATTTGGTTCATCGTATGAGCATTTTATAAAAATAATATTTATATTAGGACTAAAAATGCAAACTATTATAGACAGTTTATCAACAAGACATGAGTTCAATTTGCCAACTTATTTTGAATGTATAATTTGGCTGTTTAAGCCTCTTTCTGCCACCTTATATTTAATGTGCTATGTTGCTGGTTACCATTTCTGTTTGTAGCAGTTATCTGCCAATGTAAAATCATGCAGTGTACATAATCACGTCACCATTGCACACATATGTTCAATGCTAAGCTCACAAATAACCTGGATAGAAGCAGATTAAGTGAAGCAAAGGTCACAGATAATACAGTACTTGTTTGTAAACTGACCTGAAGCAGAGCAAGAATAATGGAAATGTTTGAGTCTTTAGCAAGTATAAAACACAACAAAATAATTAAACCATGATTGTAATTGATGGAGCAAATGTATTCAGCATTAATTTGTATAAAACATTGTTTTAATTTTTTTTCTTGTCTGTTATTGAGACAACAGAGAATATGGAATGTTGCAATCCCCTGTATCAAAGTGGATTTAAGACAGAGTAAGGACCAAGCATTTCACTATTTTATGTACCAGGACTATAATAAATTTGCTGACATTACTTTAAGTACAAAATAAATATTTAATCACATTTGATGTATTCAAAAGTGAAGCTAGCTCAGGACTGTAATGGATTTTCTGAGAATGGCTTTCTTATTTTAATGGTTGTCAGTATAATATAGTTGCAGAAACCTCAAATGGAAAATGCATACAAGAAAGATGTGAAAAATACTTGCATAAAAAAAATCCCACTTTATCATTAGTTATTATAGCATCATTATGGCGTTAAAGAGAATGTCTGCACTTTCAGAAATCCTATTGTACCTGCTATTGCCAAACAATATCATGATCCAAGGGTGTGTTAGTCTGGCTCAGTCGGTAGCACTATTACCTCTGAGTCAGAAGGTTGTGGTTTCAAGGTCCACACTAGGATTTGAACTCACACAGTCTAAGATGACATTCCATTGCAGTGCCTGGGGTGTGTTAAATTGCCAAGGGTGCCATCCTTTGGATGAAATGTTAAACCAGGGTATTTAACACGAGGCATGTTAAGTATTTCTATTGCTGCATAACCCAGGCTATTAACCCCATGAGGACTGCAATAGCATGATACTAAATCCTAAAATGAACCATATTTAAAATGTTTTTTGATACTGCTGTTTTTAGATACTGTTGCATAATAGGAAATATTCTTCATTTCCTTAATGCTCCTTCAATTTATATTGTGGACTTAAAAAGTCAAACAACTTAAATTGAAAACAAATCATGAAGAATAATTGTGGTGCAAATAAATTGCAAACTGAAATACGGATATAATTAATCATTTGATAAACATTTACAGCCAATATTATTCAAAACATGAGGCAGAATGCAATCAAATTCGGTTCAAGCCTTATGATAGCATCGAAAGCCCACCAGAAAAGCCAATCCCATTAGATGTCTTTGGGAAACCCAATGACTACCGCTGGAAGACCACTTATGAAGAAGCGTATAATACATACCATGATCCAAGGGAAGTAAGTTAAATATTCTCTATTGAAACAAATTAAATCTAAGTGCAGTAATTGAGGTTTTTAGCATGCAATCGGCTGAAACTAGGGAAATACCTAGATTGCTCCCCATCCTATGCATAAGATGTTCTTCAATGCCACACTGCTCCAACTTGTCTGATTGCACTATCCTGCCCCAATTGTACTGCACAAATTAATATTTTTTGAAGAAATAAATAATTAGAATTTTGTTACTCTCAAAGCGCTTTGCAGGTAACTTGACAGGTGTCAAGTTTAGTGATTGTTAAAGCAAAATTCATACCAGCAGGGTAAAACAAACATGAATGTTGGCTAAAACACAGGGAATGTTGGCTAAAACACCCTTTCTTCTCTCAAAAGGTGGTGAATGTATGGAACTCACTATCCCAAAGGGCTGTTGACGCTCAGTCCTTGAACATATTCAAGACTGAGATAGATTTCTTATTGCAAAAGGGATTAAGGGATATGGGGATAAGGCAGGGTTAGGTTATTCGCTGGAGTTAGATTAGAAGATCAGCCATGATTGAATGGCGGGGCAGACTCGAAGGGCCGAATGGCCTATTCCTGCTCCTACATGTTATGTTCTGGATTAGTCGCTCTGCTCTTCTCAAGTAATGTCATGTCATTTTTATTGATCAGACTAACAAGACTTTAGTTTAAATTGTCATCCAACAATGCAGTGCTCCAGTACATTGGAGTGTTAGTCCAGTCTGTAAATCTCTTGTGGTGCTTGGCTTAGAGATGAGAGTACTGCAATCTAAGCCACGTTGGTACCTGAGTAACACAGGACTGAGCAAATAGTATTGTCCCCACATGCTATTGGTAAGAGTAATATGATTGTTACAAATGTTGTACCAGGGTGTTACTTTCCAACGGACTACAGAGGAATTTAAAGCAAGACTGCCTGGGTGTCAGCATCTAGAAGTGAGTAAATGACCAGCGTTTAATAAACTTTGGAGGTGTAATGATAAAATGAAATGGTACTGATAAAATAGAGAAATTTGTAGATCCAATCCCGCAAACATTTGGATAAGTTGAAATACACCTGCATTAACATGGACGTTCAAAACCCTGTACAGTACATAGATATTGTATATCTTAGCAGTAGTCCCTCCTCACCAATATCCTTATTTCTACATCTATTAATGGTATCTTATTCTCTTTCACCTCAGTTACTTATATACTTTGTGTATTGCATAAGTTTACTGTTTTAATCCTCTGTGATGCCCTTCCCTTGAGTGTCTTGATTTTACATGATATATTCACTATATCCCAGTGGATCCCATTATGAAGTTTGTGTGTGTGGGAGTGGGCAGGGGTTCTGCTTCAATACACAGAAAAAACAGTAATCAGCAGCTGATCAGAGTTTAGCATCAAGTCTGATGCTTTAGAGTGTATATTGAAATACATAATTTAAGATGAAACTTGCTTTTGCTTCAGCCTGGTCCAGTGCCACCAACAGGGACTATTCAGCTTTGCGGTGGCAAGATCACTTGCTGGTAAGATGCATTAATTTCACCTTCTGTAGCTCCAAAATTGTGAATCGAGTTGTTCAAATCTCAGTTAAAATTGAATTTACTTTTATCTAACGTCTCATGACTTCTAACTTGAAAACCAAAACGTTCATTGCTGTTAACCTCAGCCTTTGTTTTACTAAAACAAAGCTTCCAATTTTAGCAGTGTTACAGCTGGCAATTTTTATATATTTTTTGTGGGGGACAGAGGAATTGAGGTGCTATTTTAAAAATGGAACGAGCAAAATAAACTAATAGTCTTTTACAGCCCTCGTATTCCTTTTTGCTGCAGTTATTATGATTCCCAAGAATCATCAGACTGTATAATGCATCATTTACGTATCTGCTGGTTGAGTTGCTACATTTTGTAGATTATGATCAGGAATGAAATGCAAAAGGAAAGTATCACAAGTGCTTCAATTGTACCTTAATAGTTGTTTGTTTAATTAAACATTACAGTTTCGAGGAAGATCTAGCTTGTGAAGAGCTAAATACTTATTGCAATCAAGGGCAGCAGGCTTTGGGGGAAACTCCAAAAATCTCAAAAGATGTATACGGGCAACCAGATTCCTATCGCTGGAAGACAGAATATGATACATCATTCAACATGTACCCTGATGTAAGTCACAATATACAGACAGGTGAAACATGATTTATTGAAGTGTTACATGATTGCAAAGGATTTGGAAATAACAGTTCTAAACATATCTTACAGGGTACATGGAAATAAGAGCACCAGCCCATCCATGCAGATCATTGAAATTGGCCAATTTCAATAGTTGCGGGAAGGTCATTTTGAAAGCGGTCAAATATGAAACCAGCTCTGCATGTGCTGAAGGTATCTAATAAATATAAAATCTCATTCTTGGGCTGGCCTAAAAAATTTTTTTAAATTAAAATAATTTAGTTCTGTTTATCCACCAGGACAATGTTAACTCCATGAAATGGGTAAACATATTTCATGAAGAGAGAAAAAAGTCATGGATTATCCCTGAATTCTGATAATGTCAAACGAACAACAAGTACATGATGCTTTAGGAATTCTGTCCAGTAAATAATGAACCTCATTGGCAGTTACGAAATTGTGAAATTATGAATTGCACTTTGCACAACGAGAAGCACAAAAAAACATCAGGTTTTGTTTCTTGAATAATATGGTTTCTTATTCGATTATCCACCTGGAGCCCCGTTCTTCATTTAGAAGAGTTGGATCATGGACTCTCTTGCTTTCCCCACACCAATCCATTTAACTGAAAGAAAACATAAAATTCATTCACATTGTCCAAAGGTTTGCTCATAAAATTGAAATATAGACTCAAATGAATACCACATCTGTATCAGCAGAATGAATGTATTATGTTACATGAGTCTTAAGAGGAAACTAGACTTTCACATGAGGGAGTAACGAATATGGAGACTCATGGAGCAAAAATCCAAATGGCTTGTTTGCGTGTTGTACATTCCTTGTAATCCTTGAATTTAAAGAAAATTCTTTCAAACCAATGGTTGACAAGTTTACTCCCATGTAAATTTGACATTGAACTGACATGGTCACAGCTAAAATGCTGCTGTGTACTTTTAGTACTCCCCAAAAACTCACTTGGAACTCCAACATGATTTTCAACATATCTAATGTAGCTTTGAGCTTTTGGTGGAAGATCACCCCAACTCCTAGCATTGGCAGTGCTGCTCTTCCAGCCTGGGAGTGTTTCATACTCAACCTCCACTTGATTCAGGATTTCCTGGTTTGCTGGAAAAGAGAGATTAATGGTTAATAGTCAAATAATGGTAATCTGGCAAGACAAACAATGTTAGAATACAGCAGAATCTCCTAATAACACATTGCTTTGTCGCTTGGTTCACTTATACACTAACTTCACTTTATAATACCGGGTACATCAGGCACAGAATGCCAAGTATGGGTTTAACGTACAAACTGGATCTTGAGAATCCTTACTATGAGCATTTTATTCATCTTGAGCACAACTGCTGTACCCATTGGCTGGGTACAATAGTGTATATATTGTGAAATATGTACAAAATATGTATACTAATATGTATATATACTGATATGTATGTATGTGATATGTATACATAAAAACAGGTTCATTTTTGATAGGAATGAAGGAAACAAGTGTAGAACGCAAGATTAAAAAAAAAAGTTTCATTGAGAAGCCTGAATACCTGGAAAATATGGGATCCTTCTTCCATTCAGTTTGTAGGCTAAACCAATCTTGATATCATCAAAGACGTCCAGGATATCCAACTTTGTTAATGCTAAACTGTAGAATGAGGAAGAATATTGCTGTTAAAACTGATTGAGAGTCAAATTCTTTAGTCACCTTTTATGCTGGGATCTAAAGCATACATTATAACATCTCATGCTAAATTTTATTATTTCGGATTTGGTGGCACAGTTAAGCCAACCTATTCAGACACACCTTATATGCCAATACTAAAACACTAGACATCCTCCAAATCAATGTACTGTATATAGAGAGGGCATTTGAATGGGAGATGGAGACAATTCATTTGTTTTTCCACCATAACCACCTTGATATAGGTTTTAAATCCCTTTCCTGTATGACCCAAGAAAATGACTGTTCATTGATACAGTTACTAAACAGAAGTGTGATGTGATGTACTCACGCAGTAAATCCGTTGATCATATTGGCATACTTTAAAATGATTAAGTCTAACCAGCCACAGCGTCTTTTTCTGCTTGTAGTGACACCCACTTCATGACCCCGACTCTGCAGCAGGTCACCAGTTTCCTGAAATGTTCCAGGTCAGAGTTTTAGCAATCACTACTCAAAGCACCTTGAGAGCTACAGACAGTACTTACAGTTCAAAATGCAAAAATCCGACAGTCAGAAAGCTAAACAGAAAAAGAAAACCTACAAACTTTAGTGATGTTTTCACAATTTTAGCATTAACTACTGCATAACCCTATTATGAGTAAACAGCTGAAAGGTAGAAAATCTCACCCTGTGTTCATGCTTTCGAGTCTGTTATTGTGAGAATTGCACTTACATTGACTTGTTCAGTTGGAAAAGCTCCAATACCCACTCTAGTAGTATAAGCTTTCACTACACCATAAACATCTCCAATATTCGATGGAGGAATACCAAGCCCTGTGCACACTCCCCCAACTGTGCAATTTGATGAGGTCACAAAAGGATAAGTCCCTGTTGGAGATAAAGTACAGCAACGATTCAGATAAATAAATAAATAGATGATAAATAAATGAAGCATATTAGGCTTAGATTCAAACCACAACTTACACATTCACACTGTCTGAAGATATTCTTTTCACGAGTGCTGGAGAATCCTACAGAGTTCATTATTACCCAATGCTTAAATTGACCATCTACTTAACTGCAGAAAATACATTCCATTCAGAGATACCATTCAATTCCATTCAACATTCCAAACCATCAACAGTGAGTCACCAGACAGGAATGTTTCACGCACAACCTTCATTAGATTTCTGCAAATAAAGTTGTGAGTGTTTCTCTCCTATAAATAAACTCCACACAGTTCAGATAACCCTGCTGGGGTATCCTTCTCTAAGCTATCTGGCACTGCGGCCATCAGTAATGCTCCATTTTAGACTTCAATAAACACAAAAATTGTATCTCACAGAATAGCACTTTTGAGTCGAGGCTTTTTTTATGTTGTTTAAAAACCTAAATTGCCAAGTCATTGCTGACCAAGAACATTATAGATAGATATATTTCTTATTGCAAAAGGGATTAAGCGATATGGGGATAAGGCAGGGTCAGGTTATTAGCTGGCGTTAGGTTAGAAGATCAGCCATGATTGAATGGTGGGGCAGGCTCGAAGGGCCAAATGGCCTACTCCTGCTCCTACATGTTATGTTATTAGCGTCAGTATGAAATACTCAAATGTAACTTCATTTATCAGTGTAATATTGATATTGAAAGAAAGAAATGGTCGACTAACAGGAATGGGCTTCAGATTGTCAAATCTCAAGCTGCTTGCGTTACTTTCTCATCCAAACTCCAGTTGTTATTCACACTTCTGTACAGAAAAAGTATGGATCAAGAACTTGTGCTTTCAGAAACCTACCAAAGTCTATGTCAAGTAGTGCTGCGTTAGCACCTTCCACAAGGATTTTCTTAGATGGACCATGCAGCACCTCATACATAAAGTAAACACCATCTCGTACCATCGGCCTTATCCGTTCAGCGTACTCCTAACAAAACAATGAGAGTCTCAGGATTAAATGCTTCTGTAGCTAAAAGATACAGACAAACCGGCAACACAAGCTCCACTTAGAGCAAGCCTTGGTTCAAAGCAAATCTGATATATTTTCAGAATTTCTGCCATTCATTTCTGTGCAGCAGATTTAGTGTTAAATCTATTTCTCTTCTAAACAGTGACAAAAATGATACCATGATACTGGAAATGTATCCCTAGCAATTGATGACTTCCTCAATTCCAATCTAATCTGTCAACAACCTCTCAGGGGACTGGGCCAAAGTGGCCTTCATATAAGGCTGGCCTCTGAGGAAAGGTTCCTTGGTGTGCAAACTGGGCTGTCTGTGGGTGGTTGTTAACAGGAGGTGCCTGTTTGAACAGGTTTGACTGTAATTGCAATTTTGTCCAAAAGTAATATTTTATTGGTACATCTGGAGCTGAATGCTACATATTATGGCATCTGTTCTCTGCAGTGAAACATTTGTTCCAATGCCTCACCCTAACAAATTATTAATGAGCTTTGTAACTATCCTTCTGGTGCACTTATGCACAGTGAATTGCAGCTGAATGTTAGTGACCTGAAATCTCCCGCCACATTAAAAAGAGCCAGGAGCAGCAGTGCCAGCCTCATCCATTTTTAAAGGGAAATTATAGTTTAATGACATTTTATTCAGTTACCCTATTAAGAACAAACAATCCAATGGTCATGCAGCACATGCACTTTTTGAAAGTGGGTTATTTAATCAGACTGGTCAAAGAGTTTTGGGGCCCGAGATTACCATGCGAAAATGTTTACACTGATGTAAACAGAAATAACGTGCATGATCAAAACACAAATGTCATGCTCAACAAGTAGAGACATAGGTTCTTTATATTACCTTTAATTTGTTAAGTTGTCCTTCAATGTCTACTTTCAGACTGGGGAACATAGACTGGTATTGTTGAGCCAGAAGTTTAAATCTATTAAAGATTAAAGAGTAAATGCTCTAGTACTTCTAATTGTATACCAATTCTACATTCTTGTTTCTGTGGTTTGAAGCCACCAATTTTCCCACACAAGCTTAGATTTTGCTTTTGGTACAGATTAGGATTTTGACTTCTTAGCAACTGTTAAACAAAGGCTCTCTTTATTGTCCTTTCTTTACTAAAATGTCTAATAAAGGAAAATGGTGACTTCATGTAGAAATGATTCTGTCCAGTGGAAATGCTGAGATAATTCAAAGAGACAGGAAGAGCGAGATTGGCAACAAGCGATAGGATTATCAATGGATAAAGTGCAATAAGCAGCGCTAGATGGCCAACTAGCAAGGTAAGGTATTTGAGGGTAATTGGAACTACTATGATGCCTTTAGAAAACAAGATTTTTAAAATATATAGCAAGTGGAAAATAACTTTTTAAAAATACTCTGCTGCAGGCACCATGCATTCCTGCCCAGTTTGGATGTTGGGCAGGTGAGAACATAGAACAATTAAGAACATAGAAACATAAGAATTAGGAGCAGGAGTAGGCCATTCGGCCCCTCGAGCCTGCCCTGCCATTTGATAAGATCATGGCTGATCTTCAGACCTAATTCTAATTACCTGCCTGCCCTATTCCCATATCCCCTAATCCCTCTATTTTTAAACAAATTCAGCCTTATAATCATGATAGATGTTCTTTTATAAGACAGTATCATTTGGTACCTCTATTTTCTCTGGCCAACAGACTGCAGAAAGCACAACAGTCACATACTGGGTTGGTACCTTACCCTATCATTTAAAAATATATGTATAAAACGGCATTTAATCCCAATGTGTACCTTCAGATTGAGGAATATTACCTGCAACGAAACTCATTAAAGTCAGCCAACAGGTCACAGACACGGAGACCGGTGCGTGCTGCTTTTGAAGAGTATGTTGGTCCTATCCCTTTCTTTGTGGTGCCAATACTAAAAAAAACACAAGCTTCTTTAAGAGGTGGTGTAAGAAAGGTGATTCGTCATTTATAACATGCTGTCTGGTAAAGGAAAATAGTGTCTTTACCATTGAACAGCAAACAATCTTACAAAGTCATCCTTACCTTAAAAGGGAAATGGTTCACAAGAGCTGTAACAAATGAATGCACTTATTTTCTAAGCAATACCTGTCTCAAACTGCTTTGTTTTGCCAAATACAGTGACTCACTCACTCCAATGAGTAAGACCATGCTACCACCCATATGTTAACACTGTTGTGTATATTTACGTTTTTCCTTCCTGTTCTTGTCGTTGCACTTCTTGAAGTCCATCGACAGCTTGATGGAAATCAAACACTGCCAAATTCAATAGGAACACAGGTCAAGATAAAAAGGCTAAAAAAATGTGTTGCATTGCAAGTATTGCTCATGTCTATTAACCAAAACTGTACAGATAGATCAACAATGAATAGGGGTTGAAAGCTGTTCTTCTACATCACTTCCTAGAAGAACATTCAAAATAATTTGATATTAAAACAATTTTAAAAACGGCTTGATCTTAAAGTTTCAGAAGTAACTTTTAACAATACTTACCTAAGTGTGCTCTGTCAGAAATGATCAGCCTTTTCTCCCAATCCTTCAGCCCTTTTTAAAAAATTAGCAAGGAAAAAAAAATGAATAGGGACTATATGTAAAAGTTAAAACCTATTCAAATAAGTGGTTTATGTAGGAAGGCCCAATAGAATAATTTATATTATATTAAATTGTACAATAAGTTACAGCATATTCTGTGAAGTAATTTGAGGACATGCTAAGGCTCTATATTAAATGAAAGGATTATTCTTATAAATAGTGATGATATAATTTAACTTAAAGCAATATTTTAGATTACTCTGCTGACTGTCATCCATTTTCATACAAACATCTTTAAAGAAATGCTCCTCAGTTTCCCCAACATACCTTTCTTTTCATTTTTATCAGCCTCTTCAAACAACCCAGGTAGATGGATAACGACACCATTACCTAAAATAAAGGCAAATCTTTAAAGCTTTTATGCACTGCAGTCAATGATAATATTTAACAATTCATCAAAACCAACTCAGGAGGACACTCACCAGACCCATTTACTTACCAATAAAGGAAATGGCTTTTGGATTAATAATGCCACTCGGTAAAAGGTGAAAATCATATTCTTTTCCATCTACAACAACTGTGTGGCCAGCATTGTTTCCGCCCTGTAAGATGGGAGGAAAAGCAAATGATTGTTGGAAAAACCTGTGTAAGATGCATAAACTCTCGCTGGGAAAATACAAAAGCAGGTTTTTAATCTGAACAGATTCTGTATCCCTAACATCCGTACAGCGTACTCTGTGAAAGGCAACACATGAAACCTTTAACCTTTTTCTTGCTAGTGATATTATAAAAACAGCAACTAATCATAGCTGTTGGACTGAGCAAGCAATTTCCACTGCTCCCCCTACACAGACACATAGCCATATCCAAGTACAAGAACAATCTCCGCTTTGCTACAGGGGTGTGGTGTGGGGGGGGGGCAGAGAAAGAGAACTTCCAGAAGTTAACTGAGACGTTTTGGAAATAACTGGTCAAAGAACCTACAGTTATTTTTTAATCCATGTAAAATGTCTTAAAAATGCTTCTTGTCAGATACTTTGTAAAATGCATCATTTCTGCTTGGGACAAAATGCACTGAGTCCAAAATGCGCTTTTACTTTAAAAAAAACTCTACTCTGAGACTCCACTGTGGTTGGTTTCCTGAATGAATTTAGAAATACTGTATTTTCGGGGGTGGAAGGAAAATCCTTAACCTGATGTGAATGATGTCACCTCTTGCTAAACTCTGTGTGGCTGCCAATGAGACACATTTAACTGACCTTCTCAGATTCTAAGCTATGGCTCCAGTGTAATGTGCAGATACTCCATTGGGGAGAACAACACTAAATGCATTCCTTAGATCAATAAACAGGAATGTAATGGTGGCAGGCAAAAGCGGCATACATTTTTTTTGTGGCAGACAGAGGCTACACAGTAGACAGAGTGAGGAGCAGGACACACTTAAGTTCTGTAAGCATAGCCGCAGAGTCTTGCAATGGTTTGCTCGTGTTTAGATTATTAAACCCATCAGTCATAAGGACTATAAAAAGGACTCGTGACAAAACTGGCACGCTCAGGTTACCGGAAAGAAAAGTCAACACTCAGCACACAAAGCTGAATTTGTTTTAACTCAATGCCATTATGTACAGATTTTTTAAAAAAAAGCTGACATGGTCTGGAATATTGTTTTCCCGGCTTGATTTCTTAAATGCTCTCGTTACTGACCTCTCCAGTGTCTTCCTCCACAAGCTACAGCTCATCACAGCATTCATTCCTCAGTCAGTAAAGTCTCCATCACTGCACCCCAAGTCCCCCTCAGTCTCATCCTTTCCAAGCCACAATCTTGTCCCACTTGGGGACTGACTTCAGGATCATTATTATTATTATTATAAGATTCTCGCTCATACTTTCAAATCTCTCCATCCACTTGTCCCACCCTACCTCAGCAATCACCTCCAGCCCATACTTGTGCTCATTCCACAAACTCAACCTTCAAACTCTCTTCTCCTCCACCCCATCATTGGCGGTCTAAATTTCAGCCTCTATATACCCCATTTTCCAGAACCTCCTCCACAAATCCCTCCGGCTCATATCCCTTTCAAAGTTTCAAAGGTCTTTCTAAAAACCTACTTCTTCGACTGCCTTCAATCACTTCCCTCCTGCCCTCTCCACTCTCTATCTTGTCCAGGCTTCCACACCATTTCTAGAAAGTGCTTTGAAATGTTATCCTATGCACAAATCAGCCAGAATCATCCTGGGTGGAACACTTTACTATGCTGGGGGAAAAATCATCAAGTCAGATTTGATCCCTGGATAACAACAAAAACTCTGAACATGGCGAGCCTAATGACTTGTATCTGCACATCATCAATTTAGCCAGAAAACAGAAAAGGCTTTCAAGCTGGCTAGTATGAAAATACCACAAGAAATGCATTCAGTAAAAACAAGTAGAATATTGAAGTACAGCTGTAATGTACTGCTGCTTAATTGATCTATTACTTTGGATAATGAGTTGGTATGTTTATACCCACATTTTGGAATGTACTGTTTTACTACCGCAAAGCACTGTGGATGAAATCATATTCTTTTTCATCTAAAACTGTGTGAACTTTATTGTTTTATTGAAAATGGTTTATTTAAGAACAATAAGTCAAATACTCTTGCATGCATTGAAGGGAATTTCTTCCCAGTGTCCTGGCCAACAATCCCCAAATAAAATTGGTCATTCATTTCATGGCTGTTTGTGGGACATTGTTGTGTGTAAATTACAAATTGTGTTCACCCACGACATACACAGTCACTCCACTTTGCAGTATAAGCCGTGAAGGGCTTTGAGATGTGCTGCGTCAAATGTAAGGATTATTTCAAGACTGTTGAGGCATCTATTAGTTTCCTCAAACATGTATTTGAATTAACATGAAACAAATCCACACGAGTTAGCCACTTTGTGATTTCGGCCCATTGCAAAGTACAGTGAGCGAAATCACAATTGCAAGGCAACTAATTTTAAGTAAGCAGTAATATTAAAAAAAACATGATGTGGCAACAAAAAAGGTTTTTGCACCATTTAAACTAATCATTAAAAAAAAAGTCTTGACATGTTAATGAAAACAAAGTGATAAATTAAAGGCAATGGATAAAATGGTTGATGTATCGAAACGACATGTTCACAGAATGTGACCGTACACGAAAGAAACATGATTTGTTGTTGTTCCCAGTTTCAAGGGTCAGTTGAGGTATCGTGTCCTTGGGAGTCAAATTTGCACCGTCCTGATTAAAGTTCAGCAACAAACTGAGCAAGGACAATAACATTCTGTGGAACAGATTCACTGATCAGAGAAACACAGCCATTAATCCAACAAGCTTTCTCCAATACAATTGCCGCCAGCATCAAGAATTGTGGAATTCAATTTTTTTTCAAAAAAAATATAGAGGTGTTTCCAAATTTGGTTTACTTAAGAGTTAAAAAGAAGTAAGATTCTTTGGCTTAACCTCAAGTTATTTATTCCACCAGACAGAGCCTGTGTTGGCACAGAACTGGAAATTTGCTCGTTTGGTCCATCGACCTTGGTCAGGCTACTTTTTTTTTGGATTAAAAAAAAAGAAACCAGACAGAATAAGCACTTTATTTTTAGTTATGTTTGAAGCAGGGTTGTGTTTCAGTGGCTGCATAGCCCTTGGCAGCGCTCCGTCTACTCTCTTCATCATCTCAACCAGGGGCAGAAAAAGTTGTTAGGTTTATCTGTTTTGGAAACAGGATTTCTGCATCTCTTCCCCAAAACGTTTAAATGACTTTAAATCAAACCAAACCACCCCCCCACCACCCCCTGCAACAACAACCATCACCTCGAAACACACACACACACACACACACAAAGTTGGTGCATAAGACACAAAGGAGAGAGAGTGAGAGAGAGAGAAAAAGAAAGGTAAAAGAAAAGCAGGATTGATTGTGTTTGATGCGCAATTCACTCACCAGCTGTGCGTAATGACAAACCCCGAAGCCATTGCTTTACCTGCGAGGAACCCACACCCTCTCGCACACACACTCCCTCTCTTTCTTTTCCCTCCCTCCCTCTCTTTCCCTCCCTCCCTCCCTCCCTCCCTCGCTCCCTCTCACCTGGCACCTGCACACAACGTCAGCGTCGACAGCCAGCAGGTCAGTGACTTTGCCTTTCCCTTCATCTCCCCACTGGGCGCCCAGGACCACGGTCACCTTGTTGCCCCCGTTGCGCGGCCGCTTGCAGCCTGTGTAGTTCCTGTGGTCGTTGCCCCTCCGGCCCGACTCGCTCATGTTGCCTCTCTCCCTGTGTCTGTAAACCAAGCCACTGAGTTCAGCTCAGCTCAGCTCAGCCCCTGAGCTGCACATTTGCTCGGCATCACGTTACATTGCATGGCATCGCATTGCACGACTCACACGCCACACACACACACTCTCTCTCTCTCTCTCTTCTGCACCTGGCAGGTATGGCAGAGTGCCCATGGCAGCAGGAGGAGGAGGTCAGGCAAAACAACAACAACAACGACAACTATTTTGGGCAGTTGGCAAGTGAGCTGGTACATCTTTGGGACACTTTGGGATGTCCTCCCGACGTAAAAGGCGCTCTATAAATGTCACGTTGTTGTTGTTGTACCCCTAAAGTTCCCAACACCAAGCAAAATAAAAAAGTTATCGTAATAATTGTTGCAGAATACACAGCAACAACAACATTCAAAATTACCTTTATAGAGCGCCTTTCACGTCGGGAGGACTTCCCAAGGAGCTGGACAGTCAGGGGTCAGGACCTGAGCATGGCGAAGGGATGGGGTGGGATAGGGGGGAGGGAAGGCAGAGAGGTGGGAGGGCGACTGAAGGACCGATCGAAGAGGAGGGTCTTGAGACGGATCTTGAAGGAGGCAAGGGAGGAAGCGAGGGGAAGGGACTGTGGGATGGAGTTCCAGAGTGTGGGGGCAGAGAGGCTGAAAGCTCAGCCACCGATGGTAGGACGGGTCGGGCGGGAGACTTGGAGCAGACCGGAGCCCGATGAACGGAGGGAGCGGACAGGTTGGTAGGGAGTCAGCAGGTCAGAGAGGTAGGAGAGGGCAAGGCCATGGATGAGCATCTTGAATTCGATCCTTTGAGGGATGGGAAGCCAGTGGAGTCGGACGACCCTCAATAATCCCTCAAGCAAAAAAACAATAATAAATTTGTCACTTCAATCCATGACTGTTTGTGGGTCACTGCTGTGCGCAATTGGCTGCCGCGTTTCACCCACAAAAATACAGTCAATACGCTTTACAGTATATTCTGTGAAGCGCTTTGAGACGTCTAGATGTGAAAACCGCTATATCAAATGCAAGGATTATCATTATTACTATAAGCAGTAATAACTGGGACTCTGAATAGCTTGTTTGAACACTCTTGAGCATGGCGATGGGTTTCTGCAGGTGTCAGAATCCCAACTGACCAAAACAAAATCAATGACATTGTGTGAACCCACTGAAGAGACCTCTGTTTGCAATCATTCCCAGGTACAGCAATAATTATCTGTACAAATTGATTAATTATAAGCAATACATCATCCAGAAGAGGGTGCTGTGGAGCAAGCAGGAAAATTGCTGGAGCACAATGAAAAGTTCTGAACCCTGATGTGTAAGAGAAAATATGTACAATCATTAACTAATGAAGGTATAGCAACCTGTAACCAATCAAATAAAACTACATTATAGTGAAATTCCGTAGGCATTTTAAATGAAAACAGCAGGAATTTATTTTACATCAAGACTTACATAAGTCTTATGTGAAATAAATTCCCCGGCTGGGTGAAACCTCAGGCAAGTTTTCTTACTCCACACGCCTCTGTTTACCTAGCAGTTAGTAGGAACCTGGTTGTTAGTTGATTGGATTCCCTTGAAATATAACTAAATAAACGAACAATTTGGTCACTCATTTCAAGACTGTTTGTGGGACACTGCTGTACGAGATTGGCTGCAGCGTTTCGCCCACAAAATACAGTCAATCCGCTTTACTCTTTATCCCGTGAAACACTTTGGGACGGCCTCCCAATATGAAAGGCGGTATATCAAATGTAAAGATTATTATTATAACAATTGATCAGTTTCTAAGAGGAATTGTATAATAATCTACTGAAATTGTTGTTGGCATTCAGGCAGTTTAATCAAAAATATATATATTTCCAAAATGAACTTAGAAGTTAGAAGCAGTGGAATATTTTGGAATATCAGTTTTCTTCAAATTAGACTATGTTTATTTTTACAGGAGAGAAGTATGCATAATTTTGCCATATATAGTATAAAGTTAAATATGATGCACACTTAAAGGTACATTGTACTTTATTAACATGTATTGGAAAATGTTGCATTACGATATGAGCACACTATCCCTATGAAATAATACTGATTTAAAATACTTTAACTTTAAACACAGGTTTTGTTAGTGGTAGAGTATTCAGCATATACAAGTTACTTATCAAAAAGGCAAGAATCTACAGCACTATGAAATATTGAAAATATTTCCATTATGATCAAATCAGAATTGAAAGTTAACGATGCCTAGTTTAGATGAGAGAATCATGAACCCCACAGTTTTACACATGGGTTCAGGAAACCATGATACACTGTAAGTTACAATGATAGTATTGCCTCACATCTTTCAAGAGTCTTCATGTTACTTTGAAAACATTTGTAGTGTAGGCTATCATTACCACGCACAAAGTTTCCATTCTTTTGAAAAAAAACATAGAGTAGTTTTAATTATTTCCAATAGGTCACTGATGTAGATATTGCAGTCAGCCCACTGATCTGACTTGTTATTCTTGCATTTTCCTCCTTGCTCTGAAACAAATACCAAACAAAATTAAAGATGTTTTGCAGACAGTGTGAAGCCACGCCTAAAGTGACTTTTTTACATTTGTTTTTTCTTTGCATTTCAGGTGAAAATATCGGTGCATCTAAACACTGAATGGTGGTAGAAGGAGAATTAGATAACAGTGTAAGGATCATTGTCCAAAGTAGCAGATATTGCATTTATTTTCTAAGGTGAACCAAATGCGTTTAAATGCGTTGATGGTTTAAAATATAAAGGTTCATTTCGTAGATCAGGCAAAGGTCTAAAAGAACATTAGTTATGGTTAACTTGCCCACCTTCCTCAACAGGTTTTGTCACTGTCGATTGCTGGGAATATAAAGATAAGTCTTTGGTCTGTGTTACACAGATCACTATTTTTGAATGAGTTGTTTATTAAAATGGGATATTTGGTATTTTTCTTCTTTTTTCCAGTTTTCTCCCTTGTTACTGGGAGGTTTCGGTATCTTGGCTGAGTGGTTGTTTGACTGGGCGGGGGAAACTGCACAGCTCAACTCGATCACTCCAGTTGTACAACTCGCCAAGAGTAAAGAGCCACTATCTGGAGGTCCGGGTTCAGGAGTGATAACTCAGGCTGATTTTTCTCTACCCTGAGGTCTAATAAGAGTATTGTGACCTTCGGTCTGATGGACAGGAGTTAATTTAACACAAAACAAGTAATGAGCCCTGGAACCTTCCTGATTAGGAAAGCTCACGACAACACACCATGTGACAGACTTACCCACACTTTAGAGCAGCTAATATTTTGTGATGTTCATTTGTAATATGTAAAAGTGAAGAATTAGGATGCCGAAGGCTACCTTGATACTTTTGTATCTGCGGTAGAGATTAAATGTTGTGGTCTTGCAATGCTTGGGTAAAGTTTAAAAACAAACAAAAAAATGAATCTATTCTCAGAAATGAAAAGGTTAGTACTGGGGTTCACTTCACTAAAACCAACACAGCAGCTGGATTTCTGTCCTGTGTAATGAAGTAGGAAAGTGGGGATGGTGAGACTGAAAGCAACAATTCAAAGTAATCTAAGACAGCCCATCCAGTATACATACCTCACTGCAACATGCAATGTCTGTTTGCTTTATGGCTTGAATCCCCCATTTGGCCATCTGTGTGGAAATGAAAGTGACTGTCCATAAATTCATAAGTATTTTAAACTATATGTTGTTCAGAATTAAAAAAAAGGATTCTCTCCCCACCCTTATCTCTGAGAAATGTGAATGAAGACTTGATGGTCATCTTTTGTAAATTAGTGAATTGTTTCACTTATATTTTTTTTAAAAAGTAGCCCCGTGGAACAGTGAGTGGTGAGTGCCAATGCTTCACACCCTGGAATTGTAGGACAGAAACTCATATGGATTCACGGTCACAGATGGCAATTGAGAGGAACCATAGTTGTGGTTGTTGCTAAACCACTATTGTAGAGACCCTTTATATAGTAAATATAATTCCCCATTTCACGTATTCCTTTCCTCTAGCTGTTCTCTGTGTCTGTACTTTGGCTCACCTAGTTACCATCGTCAATAGCTGGTGCTAGAATTCAACGTTGCCATCTCCCAACTAAGAGAAAGCAAGAGAACGTTGTTGTCAAGAAGATGGTTAGCCCAGTCTCCAAAGACTGAGTGACAAAACTTGATTAATAATAATCATAATTGCCATTGACATAGTGCCATATCATGTCGTTGAAACAAAGTGGCTTAAGAATGTGATATCCACTATAGTCAATATTGTCTTATAAGGAGACCTGACATTGCCCTGTGGTTTAATTAACTCTGGGTAGATTAGCTCTGGCTTTGTAGCACAGCAGACGCAGGTCCAGGTTGGGCGAGACCCTAATGAAAGAATGGGAGTCAATCCCTTCAAACTTCCTGCTTCATTCAGAACTTTGTTGATTAAATAGCATTTTCCTGGTGCATAACTAGTAGCAGTGCATCAAATGATCTGAAAAATATTACCTGGAGTTTCCTGTTTTTTCTTTTTATATTTTTTTGAGCGTTTGTGGAAAGAGTTGTGTGAATTTTTACGTGAAGATTTACTCGAATGATCTGTGAAACTTCTGTCTGATGAATTATGGGTTAACTGATCGACCTCGGTGATGTTTGCATCATGACCAGTTTCAGTTTTCTGTCCTTCCTCATTTATTTCTTTATGTGAGTCTCTGTGAGAAGAGTTTTGTGAAATGGTACGTGAAGCAGATTGACTAAAACTGTCGGTAACATCTCTGTCTGAACGATCACGGCTGAACTGATCGAGATCTGAGTTAACATTTATGGCAGGGATGATGTGGTCCGCTTGTATATCTTTCAGTGCTACTGTTTCAGTAATTACATTTGGCTTTGATTCAGGCTTTGTATGTGAATTGTCATCATCCTGCTGCTGCTTGTCTTCATCTTTATTGGTGCCATTCATCCCATTATTTGTTTCCAGTACATCTCCCTCTATGGTACTAACACGATTCACGTTTTCATCCCCTTTGCAACCAGCATCAGTTATTTTGTCTTGAACAGGTTCACGTTCCACACATTCATGTTCTTCCCCAGTAGAAAATGCTGCAGAGTTAAGGTTTTGGTGTTCCTTATTTACTTTGCCATTTATCAGTTCAGGATCTTTGATGATTGTATTCTTATCCCCCAGAGCATCTTCAGAGGCACTTGCTACAGCAGAAAATGCTGTTTCCGACAGAGGGGGTAGTGTAATATTCTGATCTGAAGCAGGTGGTGACTGAGTGTCTGCTTTCACTCTGGGCTCAGAATGATCTGTGCTTTGTGAGATATTTGTACATTGAGGATCCACAGCCTTTATGTTTTCTTCCAAGGAAGGGCCACTTTGGTCTGCAAACATGCACACAGAAAGACTACATATATCAAACAAGCTTACATTGCCACTATACATACAGTATCATCTGAAAGCTTGCATTGGTGCTGGCAAAAAGTTGCGTGCACAGAAAAGTGTGAAGCTATTAAAAAAATTACCACCCACAAAGACAGCACAGAGTTAATTGGGCACTCTAGACCTTAAAAAGATAACTCGCAGCAACTTGTTGATGTTTTTTTTTATTTGATAGGAAACCATGCAATAGCACAAGGGATAGAGTGTTAAGAGTGAGAGCTGAGTACACACCAGACTGCTGGGAAAGTTAACATTGATGCAGTTCTAGCTCTAAAGATTTATCTAAAACAGATTTAATTAAATAACACATTCCTAGTATTTATAAATAGGTCAGGTTACATTGAGAGCAACAACAAAAATAGTTAAAATTTCAGCTGAAACCATTCAGCTGGAATATAAAAATTAAGTAAAATTGAGGTGATGTGCCAGCAACTTGTCAGAAATCACTCAAATGAGTTACCAGAGATCTTTCTAACATCCCAGGCAAGCACGAGCAGAAGTGTGGCCACACTTGGCGGAGGTTAAGTGGTTGCATGTAGAAATTGCACCAAGATGGAAGCTGAACCAAACTGGTTCAGAATAAATAAGTAGATGGGCTCCCAAAAGATTCAGTTTTGTACCACATTTACAGAGCTTTCTTATGTGCAGTCAATGCCACAGCTTTCTTCTTAACCAGTTTGTGGGCTCCTGTAGTACCCATTATCTTAACTATCTATCACTTTTCTTTTAGGAATTTTGCATGTTTCCCCCCACCCCCCTCTATAATTGCAGTTTTGGGTAAATTGATTGCACAATCATGGCAATTCAAATACAAACAAATTCAAAAATAGGTTCCCCCCGTATACTAAATGTTAGTTTTAATTTTAAATAGAAGCATACATCAATGCCTGAATCATTACATATGCTGACGATTGAAGTCCTTCATTCTTGATGGCTTTGCAGAAAAAATATTTCTATTGTTTATTACTTTTTTCCTATTTAAATAGAACAACTGAGTAAGTGCACTTTTTATTGTGGGCTGCAAGTGGGAAGGAAGGGCAGGAAGGGAGAAATGAAAGAAACTCCAAACACTCAAGTCATTCTCTTTACAACAGTACAACACAAATCATATCGGATGAATATTATACTTTGTATTAGCCAACAATTAACTCTTGCATTTCAAGTGAGTTACAAATAACATTTCAGATTACCCTCAGAGCTCCCTCCATAATGCCCAAATATTGTACACGTGCACATGAACAATATTTCATCAAGTGATTTGTATATAAAATTTGTCAGTTTCCATTAGACTGTGAGTGCATCATACGTAAGGCAAATGTTAACCATAATCAATGTCCACGCACACACCATCCACAAGTGACTGGATGGCAATCAGGAGCAGGAAACCCTGACTGATTTTCTCCACACTAACCCAATGGCTTTGAAGCCAATTGTAGAACTCCATTTGGTAACATGGATCAGGGAAACCTGCCTAGTGCTAGGCTGGATGTTGCCTTTGGGCTATTGGGAGGAAACATTCATCTTAATTCTGCAGGTGATTTTATGGAACTAATCAGTTTTGGAGTTGACATTTTTGTAACTGTTAATAACTGTTGGAATTATGCAGGTAGATTTATGGAGGGCAGTCACAGCTAACCCATCAAACGTGCACCAAAATTTGCAGAGCTTGTTGTAACACCCAGGCTGTTCAAAGTTCCTGAGAAATACACTGGCAGAGGATAGCTGTTGCGGAAACACCATTTTAAGTGAGCTCATGATGTAGCTCGTCTTCTAGAGTAATCTATAGTTCCTCTCCAATATACAGTACAATAGTTATACCAATACACAAAATTCCTGTACATTGGCACTTTCACGAGTCATTCAGGTTGCAGCAGTTTGTATGAAAATTCTTAGCAAATTGCCAGTGTTAAAATCAAAGGTGTTGGATTTTGCTTGCGATTAGTAGAAAAGCCAGGAACGAAGCCTACAATTTGAAGCCAGTTATGTATTCTTACCCAGTGATACTTTGTCCCTACATTCTTCAGTAACAGAACTTTTTGGAGTTGACAGTGATTCACACCTGCTCTTAGAGGTCTTCTTCAATTGAAAACCTTTTCTTATATCTGACAGAAGAACATCGATAATACATTCCTCCTCTTGTTTCACTAACGATTTACGAACTGCAAAATAAAGTCACAGATTGTAAAGTTTACCCTGAAGATTTTTTAAAAAAAACATCATGAATTTCACTTGAGTTATAAATTAGTTCTCAAAACCAAAATTGTATGAACAAATCAAATTGAAATTAAAATACAGTAACAATACAGAGCATTAGGGTTTTGTACAATGAATACTTTTTTTCTTGTGCCTCTTCTACAGAATTGAAACAAATTAAGTTGGGCTAACACTGGAAATATATTTGTTACTCATAAAATCTTAATACTTCCTTACTAACTATTCATTTACTACCTAACTATATTCTGTCTAGAATACATTTTAATCTGCCTTTATGCCTGGTGCCTAACTACAGAATTCAGTTAGCAACAAAATGATTAACTGGACTATAATATTTACATTTAAAGCTCATAAGCAATCTTCCTTTATGTGAATTCCAGTGAAGGTGAAGCCAATACAATCCATTTAGAAAAGTAAGACAATGATTTGGAACAATTAATACAAAGTTTTAATTGGGTAATAAGGAATTGCTCAAAGTAATATATACTTACCAACTTGTCCGTTCTCTCCTTTTTGTCTTTTAGCCTCTTCTTCTCGAATTTTTTGTTTCCTCTTCTCTGCTTTTGCAAGTTGTTCTTTTCTAATTTTATTTTCCTGTAACCAAAGTAGAATGGAATATCAAGTTTATTCGTTACATTCACCAGTACAACATGGATAAGAATGCATATTAATATTGATAGGCATAAAGAGAGATTAAAATATATTCTAGAGAGAACTTTAAAAGTTGAACTTTAATAAAAAAAATCTTTTGCTAAAGGGAGCTTCCTATCAACTGTGCACTGAATACTCTTTTCTTGTGCCTCTTATGCAGAATTGAAACAAATTAAACTAACACTGGAAATATATTTGTTACTCATAAAATCTTAATACTTCCTTACTAACTATTCATTTACGACCTAACTATAGATTGAAACACAACATTTTGTAATTATGTGGTTTAAAATTAAGTGCTTCTTTTGAGTATTACAAATAAAATCCCATATACATTCAAAATCAAAAGATTATTACATCAAAGCTATAAACTATTACCTTTATTGCTTTTAGGAAAAGATCTCTGAAGATTTTGATAGTTCCAAATAGCTCTTCAAGTGAGAGATGACTGACATGATCACAGAAGTATTCAGCTAGTTTCTTTCTCTCACATTCAATATCTTCCAGAATTTGCTTTAGTTTCTTTGTCGCAACTAGACTTTCCTGCAAATACAAGTTCAAAAGGTGTTTTCATAAATGGGCACTGCTGTGCGCAATTGGCTGCCGCGTTTCGCCCACAAAGTACAGTCAATCCACTTTACAGTATATTTTGTGAAGCGCTTGGAGATGTCTCAATGACGTGATAAGGCGCTATATCAAATGCAAGAATTATTATGTTTTAACAAAATTTTCCCCCCCTTACCTCAATGGGTTTTTCAAATTGTGATTTCACATCATCTGCAGATGATGCAACCTTACTATGTGCAGCTTTTAATTGTTCCAAAAGGTTGATAGTATCAGACTGGATTGAGTCGATGCTAAAGCTGTCGGTAAACACAATATTCAAAGTCAGTAAAATAGTTTGGAGCATTTCTAGAAGACAACATTGAAAGCTAAAGCATAGAATTCCCACCCCACAAAATACATGCACAATTCTAATCTTGCCATTAGACACTTTAATTTTTTTCAATCAAAATTGATATAAATGGACTGCAGCATTTGCACACATTTAAAAAAATATGTATACTTAAAGATCGATCGAAGAAATGCAAGTGGTTATCCTACCCGGCTGCTTTTGAAATGGATTCCAGATCATCAGGAAGATTCAGAAGATCTGGATGAAACTTTTCAGCTTCCTTTAAAACAAAAAATAAACACTTAGAGCAGAGCAGGTCCATTTTAAATATTTTATTTCACAAATGGTGAAAGGTATTACCTCTGCGATGTGGTGGAGCAAAGTAACCCGGCTTTGGTTTGCTTTGGTCTCAGTGAGCTTAAGCAGAGTGTTTATCTTGAAGCCATCTGCATTTCCTGTATGACTGCCCTGATGAAAAAAATTAAGTGCATGTGTTTTCAAAGTGCATCTGTTCAGTCAGCCAAACTTCTTTCGTTTTCATATTAAAAACAATTACACATTTTGCTTACATATAGTCAATACAATGCTTTATACGGGTTTATCATAAATCAATTAATGTACTTACTTGTGCAAGATATCTTTTAATAATTAATTTTCCAGCTTTATTAAAATAAAGTGTAAATAATAACTGTAGAATACCATATTGAGCAGCATAGAGCAATAATGTACAAATGCTTCAATGTACGTTTTCAATCAGTAATTTTGTTTGTCAATATTAAAAAGCTTTCTTCAAAGAAACTCGTTACTTTGAACCAACACTCAAAATACTGCAGATGCTAGAAATCTGAAACACAAACGGTTCCCAGTTACTTTGTACCAGGTTTCTCTGCCCCCCCACCCACCCTTATTTTTTTTTCTCTGCCCTCCCCCCCTTATTCTTCCTCTTCTATATAACTCCCTCTCACCTTAAGATTTTCATTTCCTTTGAAATGTACTTACATAGTTGAGGAAATTTCCCACTTTAAGAATTAGTTGACAGAATCGAGGTAGCCTTGTGGTGGATAGCAGATCTATATATAAAAAAACCCAACAATCTTCAAGATGCCTTGATCATTCGCCCCACATCTTGTGGGATCTTGCCTACAAAAAAAGTCATACTTGACAGCAATTACTATGAATGTCTTTGAGAAATGAAGCGAGAGACCTGGGTTCGATTCCCAGCAGGGTGAAACCTTGGGCAAGTTTATTTCCTTTTCAAGTAAGGAAATTAATCCCTCAAGAAAATAAAACAATAGTAAATTGGTCACTTCAAACCATGACTGTTTGTGGTACGCTGCTGTGCGCAATTGGCTGCCTCATTTCGCCCGCAAATATACAGTCAATTCACTTTGCAGTCTATTCTGTGAAGCGTTTTGAGATGTCTAGAAGACGGGAAAAGCGCTATATCAAATGCAAGGATTATTATTATAATGCCCAATAAAATGTGACAGCAAATATTTTTTATGCTGCTCTGTAGTCCAACATTGGCTTATTAATTTGTGATTACCAGCACAAGCATTTGCATCTCAGATGTTATACTGTAATAGGGTAGTTATTTATTTAGACGATTGTTGCCCTGACGTGTAAGTTTGTTCGATTGTGCCATTATTTGACATTGAAATCATTTGTACTTGCCTTCACAAGCAGTTTGAATCAGTTCTGCTTTTGGATGAAGCATATTCATGGAAACAGCCGTCTCTTCACACAATTGCATGCAATTGATCCTGAGTTGATAGCTGCAATGGGGCAAGGGAAATAAATATATTGGATTTGAAGTGCAATACTAGAGACACAGTACAATATCAACAAGCCTCAAGATTTGATGGAATTCAGAGATTTTAATTGGCCTTAATATTTTGGGAACTTTAAATGAACAGTAGAAGAAGCATCTATTTGTATTTATAATTTTCCATTAGCTTCCAATGAATGTAGGGCACAGAAATGGGCCACTCAGCCCAACTAGTGCATACCGGTAAGCTTACATTACACCAGAAACAACTGGCAGGTAAAATAGTATTAAAATTAATCAACAGCTTGTTTTACCTCAATTAATATTGATGAAAATGGTGAACATTAAAATAAGTGTGATTTGAGAAGTGGAACAAAGCAGATTTTAAAGGAAGCCTACAAGGTTAATGCTTCTAATATGATTACACTTGCTCATTACTTATCGATTCCTTTATAATCTTTGCTCTTTCTGATTCAGTATTCTTCCCTGGTCTCTTCTTGCTAACATACACGTGATGATTATTGCACAATATTATCAAATTGTTTAGTAGCTCCCTCCTGAATCCACCCCCCAGTTCAGGTACAAACCCTTGACTGTCCAGCACCTTGGGATGTCCTTGCAATGTGAAAGGCTCTGGATAAATGCAATTTGCTGTTGCACCATATATTTAGAAAACAGTGAAGCTTCTGAAATCTATGCAATGGAAAGCAATCCTACGCTACAATAACTTTTGCAGATCAATAAAGTGGACTCAAGTATAAATGATGTAAAAACAACATACACATCTGAAATCTATGCAAGGGAAAGCAATATTGATATCTGGAATACGCACCTGGGAACATTAAGAAGGAGAAAGTAGAAGTAATCTGCACTTGCTAATTTTTCGTTTCCTCCTTTGTAAGACTTTATATTTTCTATCTGCACATAGAAGTAAGCAAAAAGAAAAGTTATAACCTGATAATATTGACACGAAAATAGCAAATATGTTCTTAATCATCATCTTGTTGACTTACTTCATGATTGTCTGGCAGTAGTTTGTTGAGTTGCTTCAAGATCTCGACATCAAACTTAGATCGGTCTCCTCTTCTGATCATGTCAGCTATTTCTTCATTAGAACTAGTGATGAATACGGTGTAATGTTGCCTCCGTTAGTTTATTTTCAATATTAAAAACTCTTAAGGTCTTATAGTATCAATATGTAGGTTAAGTCTATGGAAAAAACATCTACAAAAATAAATCAAGCCCTGTGTGTAGGCATTTACAACTGCTAAGATATCACAGGCAATATTTGAGTCCTGCTCATTGTCAAACTCAATTTACAATCAGCCCACTAATAACTGGACTAATGGGGGGGTGGGGGGGGAATCCAGTCCACACAGCTGGGTTTCCCACCTAAGTGTTAATCCCATCTAACGCTGGAAATAAAGTTAAAGAAATCCACTCTAACATTTCAAATGAATAAAAATGAATTTTAAATAAATGTCAAAAACAAATATACTGTACGCTTCCGTGCTCCCCACTGATACGATGCAGCTGTGTCGATGCCCTCAGCAAAACCAACCAATGTCAAGCTGTGGGCATCACGTGGGCTGCCTGGCACAGGGCAGTGTGGGTGCTCATGAGGAGAGTTGCGCTGGCAGGAGTTTGAAACTGTCTGCATACAAGGATTTGTTTTTGGCTCGTGCAATTTATTTATTTACGGACCCGGGCTGACTAAGTCCAAATTGTGGATACCTGACTGTGGTTAGCCAGGGGTTGAATGTACGGGGTGACCAAAAAGTCGTGATAACATTACGATGTCTAGTAAGTCTTAAAGAAGTGATGAAGTTTGAAGAAAAAATAATAGGAGAGTTATCACGACTTTTTGGTCACGCAGTACATGGTAGATTCATTGGAAAGTTGTGGTCATTTCTCCACGACAATGCAGTATAAGTGCTGTGTATGGAAACCGGGAGTGGTAGATATTTTTCAACTCACCATCTGAATTGCTTTAAAAAGATGTTCAAATTGAGGCTTTTCCGGGACTCCAAGAACGTAATCTTTGGGGTGGAGGGAAGCAAAGAGGACATAAATAAGTTACGTAGAGATTTTTTTATGCATCAAAATGATAAGTTAGTTTGCTTCATTTTTACTTGCCTCTTTTTCTTCTTTTTTTACCGTTTGTTCCTTGGGTTTGGGTTTGGATACCGGAAAGCAGAAGAGCTCCTCAATCCTGGCGTAATCAGGATCGAGCGGTCCTTCAGCTTCAAAGGCAGACCATAAAGAATTCTTTTCTGAAACAGTAAAGGATGTGGTGTTAAACACAAGTAGAACCTCAGGACACTGCAGTGCTTCGCTGACTTTGATAAAGTTTTAAATACAGAACCCTTTTTCATTCAAATATCTAACTTTTAAAGGCTTAACAATAATACTAATCCTTGCATTTGATAGAGTGCTTTTTCACGTCATTGAGACATCTTAAAGCACTTCAGAGAGTATACCGGAAAGTGAACTGACTCTATATTTTGTGGGTGAAACGTAAATCAAAAGATTATTTCACAGCCATCTCTCACTCACCCAAAACCGCTTTTGAGGAGAGTTTCTGCCAGTTCAGCTTTTTCATCCTTTGCGTTGGTCGCTGAACATGTCTGGTGGGCGTTAGGTAGGAACAGTGTAGACTGTTGGCTTGGTGAGCAACCAGAAGTCCGGGTGGAGGTGGTGGGGGTGGAATTCCACCTGGAAGTGGCGGTGGGGGAGGGGGAGGTGGAGGGGCACCAGGAGCTCCAGGGAGGGGAGGAGGAGGAGGAGGAGGAGGAACACCTACAGCTCCAGGTAGAGGAGGTGGAGGAGGAGGTGGTGGTGGTGGTGGTGGTGGAGGAGGAGGAGGAGCAGGAGGTGGTATCAGAGATTCTGGAAGTGGGGGCGCTGGAGGAGGAGAGATCAGTGATGGAGTAGACTTGAGGCTTTCTTCACTTGAACTTATGGACCCAGGCACAGATGCTTCTGTTTGTACCCCTCTGTCAACGGCCTTCGATTTAGAATTATCCTTTGCCAGCTGGTCATTTCCATGTTTCTTAACCAGCACAAGTCTTTCCAGGACTGAGTGAACATCTCGTTCTTGGGCTGCTGCAAGGACAATAATTCAGGAGATTAACACACAATTTTGACTTCCATTAATGTTCGCAAAATGGTTTAGAAGCATTAATTAAAAAAATACAGATTTTCTTTTAGTGCACGTGCTTAAATAGTGAAAAACGAGTCTTTCGTTCCGCTCTCTTAAACACCACGCAACAACAACATGAATTTATATATCGCCCTTCACACGGATAGCTCCCGTAGCGCTTCACACACGTACAGAGTTTGAAAAGTTTAAATGTTCTAATATGCAATGGAAAGATATTGCCATACCATCATCGGCAATAAGAATGGCTCTGTTCACCAAGAGCTCCAGTGCTTCCCACACCAGGTGGTTGCCAATTCGAGATGGTTCAAGGTGCAGGAGCCCCTGCAGAATGGACAGTAGCTGAGCAGAGCTTGGTAAACTACTCACCTGGAATGAAAGTTAAAAGAATGGTTAAATACCACATATGCCTCCAGAACTTTTGGAAGGAGATCCTAAATCTATTTGGCCTACTGCCAGTAGAACAAGCTATAGCGTGCTCCACCTCAGATCGTCTCAATGCAAGCTTTTATCTATGAAAAGGTGCACCCTTTAGCTATGGTAATAATAAAGACTTCAACCCACCCCAAGAGGTGTGGACAAAAACCTAGATGTTTGGCAATTCGAGAAAGGAACACGTGGATAACATTGAAAGAGAGTTAAAACACTAGCGTGTTATTAACTTTCTTTCAGCATGGGTTATCAGACATTCTAAGTTAAACAAGAAATTGCTAAATTTCAAAATACAATACAACATTACATATGTATAGCTTCCTTCACCTCAGGAGGACGTCCCAAGGCGCTGGACAGACAGGGATTTGGTATCAAATAAAATGATGCTCTCATTACCTCTGATCATACCATTACTAGAATCTCCCAGCTAATGTTGCTGCAAAGGGACACTTTGCATTTAAAAAAAACAAAAAGGATTCTATAAGTGAAATACTTACTTTATTAAATAGCGCTGAAAATACTTCCTGGTGACTGTTCATATCAATACCATTGAAGATTCTCATCAGTTCTTCATCATCTTGTTCCTTGAAATCCTCAAAGGTTAAACATTGGATGAGAAGATCATCATCATTCTTCTCCCTTAAGGAAACCATATTATACCATTATAATAATAATAATAATAATAATCCTTGCATTTGCTCCACATCCTGATCTAGAACGACGAGCGTAATGTGAGAGTTAAATAAAATGTGTCCCCCTTAAAGAATTTTCACAAATAAGTGTGCAGAGTTAATGGCTTGTATTTAGGTTAAGTGGTTCATTAAATCGGTTTAAAATACACAGACACAGAAAGGAAGAAACTACAATTAACTATGAGGATATGATGCCAATTCACTACACAAATAATTCCATACCTTAATAATGGCAGCAAATCCAACAGGTGAAGGCCTACAAAATATAATGGTTTTGTAAAATTATTTGCAGGTAACAAATGTACTCTGAGCGCTATGCCATCTGTTATGCTTAAATCAGTTGGTTTAGGGGGTCATTGATTGCTCCACAATTCTTGTGTGGATCAATACTCAGATTTGAGCCAACATTATCATTACCAACTGAACAGTTTCGAACAGTAATGAACTGATGCAAAATTGCAAGTGCTCTTTTCTAAACCACAAGGGGGAAAAAAAATGCAGATTATACCAGTAATTTCATGTCTGTCTTTTACATTTTGAAGCTGCCCCGTGTCCAATGTTAAGAAGATTTTGTTGAAACTGTGCAGGAGTGTGTGCTGGGATAGACCAGCAGTGAAGGTGTACAGCTGTCCTTTATTTATTCAAATTTTTTTTAAGAAAAAAAGCTTAAAGTTACAACATCGAGAGTAAAACTCTCTATAATCAGATTATACATTTTTCTACTTTATTCCAATTTGACCCCCTTATTTGAGTTCTTTTTAAAAACATTAATTTGTCTTTCAGCATTTGTGAATTGCACCTATGTTGGGTTAGAATTGTTCCCTTTAAGAGGTGCGGTCCACATCAGAGTCAAGCCCCTGAATTGTTAAGAATGTAAAGTGGTTCTATTAGAACACTAACGGCCAAACCATTTGAAGTATAATTGTTTAAACCAGGATAGATGTGTGACTAATTTACAACATGTTTGTCTACACAGAAAGGTACGTTTTAAAATGACTATAAAAGGTGCTGCTGACTAAATGCATTACTTGTTGGTATCTTATTTATTACAAATTTAAGGCAACATATTGGAGCACTATGTGGGCAAAGGTTTAGAGTTTTATCATGCATGAGATTATGGAATATATGAGTTGACTTAGTAATTGTAATCAAGTGCTCTGGGACACTACCTTACGTAAAGGGTGCTTTGTAAATGCAATTTGTTATAAGATTGGTTTTGTATTCCTTCCCCCTTTCAAAATAAGGTGCTGAGTTTTAAACTGGTAGAACTTGTTCACGTTCAATCATGTAATACTGAAAATTGATCAATAACATTGTACCTATGAACTCATTTCTGAGTTGCACACGAGATCTTAAGTCTGCTGTCCCCAAGATGATGGCATTGATGACGCTCAACATTGTTACCATATAGGAAATGTTTTCTGTGGCCTGGAGTTCATTCATGATAACACTAAATCGATATTGCTGACTCTTCACAGTCTGACGAGAGAAAAGAGGAAAATTGAACGATTTGTGAAAATATTTCCTTTCATTTTCTAATTCCTTTCATTTCGAGATACTTTGCATATTTTGTCTCGTCTCAATCACTGCAGCAGGTTATAGCCCCCTAGTGAATGTTGGATGGCTATTTTGTTTCTGAAAATGTAAAAAAGTAATAACTCAGACCCCTGTAGGTGTGCTTTAGAGCTATCCTTACTCAAATTATGTCAAATTTAATAGTATATGTTAGTAAATTATGACATGTGACTGCGAGGATAGTGGATAGGCGAACTGGATGGACCAGGTTTTTGTGTAGCAATTCTTATGTATATGATTGGGAATATTATCTGTTAATCATGTAAGAATGGTTTAGTTACACTAGATCTGGGTAGAAAATACGTAGCAGCAGTGTGAGTGGAGAGTCTGACTCTGCATGTGAACACATGCAAAAGTTATTTCACGGCATAAAGACTTACCTTGTAATGTTCTAATGCATCCAAAGATAGACCGTGGCCTTCCAGTGAATATATAGAGAGTGCGGCGAGCAGCTCAAACACTTGTTTCTTTACTGTGATATTTGATGTATCCAAAGCTGCAAATCAGAAATAAGGATAAAATAAATTCAAATCAATTTGATCTCTTCAGTGTAGTATATTTCTAGAGCAGCTTCAATTCTGTTCTATCATTCAATGAGATATTATGACTATATGGTAGTTATTTAAAAAGTTAAAATGGCTCGACACACTTGTTCTATTGTAAAACAGGCCATGAAGTAAGGGTAAAATTCATTTACAGGCTTTAAACATGTACATACCTTTAGATAGTTTCCGAACATAGCTTTTACTGTTCACAATGTAATCAATGCCTTTGGGAGAGTTCATCACAGCTCGTACACACTTAACACAAGTGAGCTGCAGAAGTGCATCTGCTATCTTTGCCACACCTCTTCCAGACAGCCTGTCCAAGGCTTCCAGCAATATATCAAGTCCACTAAGATCCAGAAACTGTACCATCCAATCATTATCACTATTTTCCAGTCGCTTCTTTAGGCCAGAGTAGTTTACAACAGTTGGAACTTGCAGGAGGCGAATACAGAGTTCAGGTTCAGCATTTTCTAAGTTGGCCTCTGTGTGGTCTATGTCGACGTGGGTAATTTTTTCCTTTAAGAGAGACCATTTATTGCATGTGCTTCCCTGTTTCTCATCCATTGTGCTCGCTACTTTTCTCCTCGCCTATAAAATGGAATAAAAAAGAATTAAGACTTTATTGCCATGATATATTTCTTTGTACAACTGTGAAAATTTTGCTCTTTTTATATTGAAGGCAGGTGCACATAAGATTGCACAATATTCCTTGATGTAGCCTTACAATTTATTATCTAAGGTTGAGAGCAAAAGGACGAGGCTATCTAACATCTAAGGTGGAATGAGGCTACATCACTCAGACATAGAAGCATTTTGATTCTAAGATCTAATCTAAGATCATAAAACTAGAAATTTCTGTTGTGAACAGGTTTGGTTTATGGTTGTTTATTGGAAATCATTATCTTGTGCCATTACAGCAGGCTTCAGTGAAATGTTCCTGTGCTGCATCAGCAGGACCAATGCCAGTCCAAATGACTCATTCAACCCAATTTTTATTAATTCCCATCACATAGAAGTGATGTAACACAAGCCACCATGGCTGGTTACATTTAAACAGTGAGCTCCATTTAGCTGTTGCAATCTGATGCAACCCTCCATATATAGTGAAGGCAATTTTTTTGAAGAAAGTCTTATTTTTAAAGTACAGCGAAACACAGCTTAGCAGAATATTGCCTTGCAATTTACAATTATTAGAACCTTATTAAATTATTGGTGCAGATTGGATTTTTGCTTTTTTGTTTAAACTGTGAGTCAAAGGTTAAAGTATCAAGTCACACCACCGTTAAATGCTCTGAGACACTACCTGCATGAAAGGTGCTATATAAATATATTTGTAATATAAATGTTGTTATTGTGCTCGATCCACAGCATTTAGTTTTATATAAAATGTGTATGCTACTACAGTATTTTGCATCTGTGCAATGGAGTAATTTCACCCTTTGTTTTTTCTGAGGCATATTTATTGAGGGTTTTGCATTCGCTGTGTGTTTTCTCTCCTGTGGCACCAGTGTAGAATGTATCATTTATCAGAAGTGGCTTGTGACTCTCTGGAGTATGTTTTTTTTCAGTCTGATCTCCACTCAGCTCAGTGCCTCTCTACAGAGTTTAGATGAATAGGTAACGTGGAGGCCTATAAGAGTACATTACATTAGAATATACAGCACTGAAACAGGCCATTCGGCCCAACTGGTCTATGCCGATGTTTATGCTCCACGTGAGCCTCCTCCTGTCCTTCCTCAGCTAAGCCTTCAAGCATAACCTTCTATTCCTTTCTCCCTCATGTACCTCTCTAGCTTCCCCTTAAATACATCTATGCTATTTTCCTCAACAACTCCTTGTGGTAGCATGTTCCACATTCCCACTACTCTCTGTGTGAAGAATTTTTTTCTAACTTCCCTATTTGATCTATTTGTGACTATTTTATATTGATGGCCCCTGGTTTTGGTCTCCCCTACAAGTGGAAACATCTTCCCTATGTCTACCCTATCAAAACCTAATTTTAAAGACTTCTTATCAGGTCACCCCTTACCCTCCTCTTTTCAGGAGAAGAGTCCAAGCTTGTTCAGCCTTTCCTGATAGGTATAACCTCTCAGTTCTGGGATCATTCTTGTGAATCTCCTTTGCACCCTCTCCAGTGCCTCTACGTCCCTTCTATAATGCGGGGACCAGAACTGCACACAGTATTCTAAGTGCGGTCTGACCGAGGTTCATTATGAGTTCGTTTGTTGTTATGAGTGAACCCAAGTTATTCCATTTTGATACTGGACTGGAGGACCAAAACAGAAATCTTTGCTATTCCACTGAGTGCTCTCTTTTAGTTTAGTTTAAAGATCGTCTTCATAATTCATTTTGCTGCAACACATATCTATTATGGACATGCTATCAAAGAAAATGTAAATGTACACGCAATAATTTTACGAACTTTATCAGCAGAAATCATAGATATTGAGCTCACTAATATCCCCAGTTAACTTAGGCAACTACATTATATGTTGTAAACTAATGGAAATAAGTTTGCTGAGCACTTTTCATAAAAAATGAGTGCCTTTTAAATCGTCCAGCATAATCAGGTTGCAAAAATTAGATTACTACATGCTGGCCAGTTATTTATCTAATAAAATAAACAACTTGCTGTTAAGTAGCATCTTGTCAGCTCTCCGAAACATATTCTTCTCATGAATTTGGGAATTGACACTGTTGGTGAGATGTATCTATATGGAAATAACCCCTAGCATAGTTTGCTATGGAGCATGAAAGCAAACTGGCCTTAGAAATTTGTATGGGTGAGGTTTGGAGGTCTCAAGGTTCCTGCGGATTATAAGGATTTATACCTCGTTGATTTGGACTACCTATATAGGAAAGGAATGTTGAAACTTCAAAGGTTCTAGACTATGACTAGGAGAATTAACAGCAACAAGATCAACTGCAGATAGAACTAAATAGAAACAAGCATGCAAGGCACCATGACGAAAACGTTCAGAATAATAAATGTAATGGATTCCATATGTGGACTGCTGCAAAGAAAAATGTAAAACTTAAGCCATAACTAATCTCAACTGGATAAACTGAATCCCTGGATGGAAAGAAAAGAGATAGGCTTAAGAATTAACTAGATATTTCCTCACAATGTTTTTGTTTAATAATTAGACCAAACCAAGAGATACTGGGAGGAGGGGGCTGGGGAAGGGGGAGATTCAGTAGTTTAACAACAGCAGTAATGTGCCCCACAGAGCCAAGGCTTGGCTTAAATTTGCTAATGACTCAGAAACATAAGTTGGAATTTATGAAAAGCTGCTGGAATAAATTTAATGCTGAAATGGAAAAGTTGATTGCAAAGGTCCAAGAACCAAAATGGACAGTAACCACAACAAAGACTCATGTTCTTGGAAGCAAACCTCGCTGAAAGAGAGACAACTAATTCCAGGAAGATGGATTGGATTGGTTCACACAACCACTTTACCAACGAAACAAGATAAAACAAAATGCAAACTTTATCTTCCTATGAATATGTTGGAGTTGCAAAGCTAAAGTTATCAGTATTCCCATAAGCTTAAAAAAACACTGTTGTTGAGCTGATGGATAAATACAAAGTATTTAGTTTGTTTTATGCATTATTTTCCTTCCAACGGTTGGATTCTCCTATAGCATGTACTTCTAGTTAAATAGGACCATCTTGATGGTATAATTGTACAAAAGCAGCCGGCATACAGTATGCACTCAATTCCTCTTCAGAACTGCTTTTTTTTAAACAAAAAAAAGATTGCATGCAGTCATTGCATACTGTGCACAATTATTGTTTGTGCTGAGGCAATTATTGTTTGGCTACACGAACTTGCACGTTCTACTCAGTAAAATCTAGTGATAACTTTTTAATAACTTGCATTTTCTGTTCTAAATAGTTTGGCTGATGGTTGTTATGAAAAACACAGGAACATGACAGAACAGAAATAAATGTTGGACAAAATTCAAATTGCTGAACAGACAAGGCTTTTATCTTGTGGCTGCACATGCATGCAAAGGAATGTAAGTGAATTACAGAACTGCTTATTCAGCGGTGATTCACTGCAACTGAAGAATTTACAGATCCCGGGGTGGGGTTTTCCTCTGTGCTGCTTGAAACTGCTACATCCTGTTAAATTATTATCTGTTGAGCCATTTGACAGAAAACATTCTTTTTCTTGAAGGCGCCTCTTAAATTCAGGCACTGACTCTTAAAACACTCCGAAACATTGCAACCCACTCGAATTGTTCCAACTGCATTCCACGCACTAAAGAAAATTAGGGCAAACTGTGAGGCTAAGCCTTCTGTACCCTGAACAGACACTGCATAGAAATAATGCAGAGGACAGGGAATCAATACAATGTTAGAAGCATTTCCGAGAATGACTTCAATGGTAATGTTCAAACTGTGTCAATAGAAATGGATATCAAAATCTGAATCGTATCACAATTGGACAGGCATTCGATTTTAACCGGTAAACTTTAGCACTGTAGTTAACTGTCAGTTAAGTTGAGTTACTTACTGTCTGGTTGTTGATGTGTGGTTAGCGCTTTCGGATCATTTCAAAACGGCTGCATAAAGTTTTAAACAGCTGGCTGCTGTTTTTCCAGTGTTAATCCAAAACACTCGATTCAGACCAGTGCAATGAATGTACCAATGTAACTCAGGAAAGTTCTGTACTGACTTGAATTGCTCTGTCCGCTCAGGGTGTGATCACTTGACTCCACCTCCACTTTGGTACATTCACAGCACTGGTCTGAAAGGGTGTTTTCCAGAATATAACATCTGCTGCCAGCTTTTCTCCTCAATTATCTGTGAAATCCAGACCTTGTTTCTGTTAATGCCAATTCCCCTTCCCTCAGCAATTTCATGATTCATTGCTGAGAGAAAGGGAAAAAAACAAAAAATCCAACTTTGCTTTTCATTTGTGCGGCATTTTCGTGTTGACTTACTGTGGCTTCTGGTAACTTGAGATTTGAGGAGACGAATGAATCATTGTTAAATAAGCTTGATGCCCCCATAAGGAAAGTTAAATTCTGCGAAACGTCTTGTGAATTTGCTTAAATATTCTTTATCAATGAGAGCGATGTTTCTGAAGACAAAATGAAATGTGTGGCAACCAATATTTCCATTGTGCGGTGTTTCAAGTCACCATTTAACCCAGTTAAAAAACACTGATGTATTGGAATGGTTATGGTTATTGCATAATAATGCTATAAACTTGACTTTTTCCCCCTCTCTCTCTGCTGCACTAATAGATCTCAACTGAACTGTGCAAGGACAACTAGAATGAAACACTGAACAGTGTGATCCTAATTGAAAACAGAACTGACAATAGTTGCTTTGTATGTAAGATCTCTGTGTTCAGTGTTGCTGCTTGGCATTTTAGAAAACCAAATAACTGTTTATTTGCAAAAAAAAATGTTGGGCAAATTGTTACACAGATGACATTATTCGCAAGAGAGAAGTAAGCATGTTCTGTAAATGATTATTTGAACTGCTAACAAAAACATAGCTATATTTGGCTTTAGGTACTTAAATACTTGTCTGCTGCAATTCTGGTAACCCTGCTTACGTGACCTGTGAAAGATCTTTTACTGGCAAGAGACGGAGATTGTAAGCTTCTCCAGCTTGCTCCTTTGCCATTCAGTTTTGGGTGCATTTTTCACTAACAGCCTTGAGCATAATCCGAAACAAATCTTTCCTCCTCCCCATGCATTTTTTCCACTTCACTGAGAGAAACAAGTAAGGAGTATGTTCTGCCCTGTGCGCTCCATGTAAGAAATTTGTTGAGTGCCACTGACTTCTGTATATTGCATTTCATAAATGTACCTGTGCCCATTTAATGAACAAATAATAACATTGTTATTAAAGATACAAAATTAGGCTTTTAAATTCCATTATAATTGGTCTTTTAGAAGCCCATGAAGACAAATTCACAGAGTTCACTGAATGGTTGGCTTAAAGTTGTGCCCAGAGCAATATCCATAACTAGGAGGAATTAGTGAGCATTTTTGAGTTACTACACTTGTTATTGCCTGTGTTATGAGATGTTTTGTCATTGTACAATAGATGCTATATCAAAAGATAGTTATTTTTTGAGTTAAATGTATTGGAACAAAATATGAGCATTCCACAATGTGGAGGATATCCACAAATTTCAATGACTGAATGACTAAGTAAAACTTAGAACAAAGACATTTGTTAATGTTCACGTGTCTGACTCTTGACAATCTTATTTGAGGCATTCTTTTTATTGTGTGTCATGTTTAAAACCAAAAACTACTGAATTACTGTAATTGTTAGGGAAAAGATTATGGAGTAAAAAGGGCTGGACTATAAAATAAATCCTTCAGAGACAAAGGTTTTATTGAAAAGCTCACTCTTCATTTATTCTCCTAAAACCAAAATTAAATGGTTTGTACTGTATATTTCTTAACAGTTCTGAGGAATCCGTTCATACATATTTAATAACTCATTAAAAAAAATCTGATTTTAGTTTAGATGAGGTGAATACTTTATCTGCTAGTTTTAAAGTTACTTTAGCAACTCGTATTCTGATAGAAAAGACAGTATTTCTGCTCTTAATGAGTACCTTGTTGGAATGTATGTTAAAATTCTCTGTGATTGTTAATCCAGATGTTACAGGAAGGAATAAGTAAACTGTTTACGGTATGGAAGTTGAATTACATGGAGTGAGTCTTAATTGTTTTTAGGTCATAATTGTTTTAGCATGCACGTTCCGGCAGAAGGTCCAGAATTTGTGGAAGGTAATACTTTCCAAATTCACGTGAATTCAGCTTTGTTTCTCCAATAAATCATTTTTGCCAACAAATACACAGTCGCTTCACTTCAAAATAAATCCCATGAAGCACTTTGGGACATCCTCCTGACACGAAAGGCACTATACAAAATGCAAGAGTTATTGTTATCATATCACAGACGAGGCTTTGTCCAGGAATCTGAATTTTTGGAATACAATTTCTGGCACTCCATCAATTAGAAAGAACACAAATGACTTTAGGATAAATTGTTGACCACATCCACAATGGTGAAAGTCGCCTTTTTTCCTCTGCTAAATCCTTGCCAAAGGCTTATCAGATCAGCCAACAAAACAAACAGCATGACTTAACAGTAGGGGTTGGCTGAGAGCATTTATGTTTCTGGCCTTTGTAGTACTTCTAGAGATATTCAGAAAACTAGATCTTTTGATGGTTCTTGACTCCACTGAAGTCAGCTTCATGGTTAATCTTGTCCTGGGTGTTTTTTTTAAAAAAAGTCGCAGAAAACAAATCATCGCATTCCTTCCTTTGTTCAAATAACATGTATGAGACACATCAGGACATTATTTCTTTACTGTTGATTGGATTTCTTAGAATCAGTGTCACTGGAGATTTCTGCATTTTTGCAACATGATCTTATTACTTTTGTGTTACTGGGTAGCAGTTGTTGCCTTTACTCGTCACAAGTAATTTGCATGAAAGGTATACAGGTAGTTACCAATCTGGAGGACAGAATTAATAATTACAGGAGCTTCTTCTATTTATTTTTCTATTAAGCGCTCCGAGACACCATCCAGTGTGAAGGGCGCTATATAAATATTTGTTGTTATTGTTATTTAGCTTTCCTTCTTTGTCTTTGTTTCTTTTCTTGCTAATTTTTTTATTTGCTAACTAATCCACGGCTTTCGATTGAACTTTATGACCGAGTGATCACAGGTCGGGGGTTGACTGTGGACGTGGGTGACGGAGTGGATGTGGAGGGAGAGATTGAGTGAGGAGATAAGGGAGGAAAAGTCAGCAGAGGTAGAGCAGGAGGGGGTGAAGTGAAGGTTGAAATCGCCAAGGATGAGGAGGCGTTCAGAGGAAAGGGAGAGGGAAGATAGGAGGGTGGAAATGTGGGGGATGAAGGTGGGGGAGGGCTTGGGGGTGTAAATGGTGAGGTGCTCAAAGGAGGGGAAAGTTCCAGAGGATTAAGGGGTGGTTCATGATAAACAAACAAAACACCATGCAGCATCCAGTTCTGTTTTGCTTTAATTATCACTTTTGTCAGCTGCTACATCACTGGAATTATCCGTTAGGGAAATGACTCAGGAGAAATAGAGAAGCTGGCCCTTGATATCGAACCTCTTTTCCCCATGAGACTGAAACACAGAAACTCTATTGGTGTGCCAAGTTATGTTTTCACTGGCCAATATATTTTCTGCTAAATAAGGCAACTTCAGACAAAAAAANCTTGTCTCTGATATTCATGCTCCCTTCAATTGGCTACAGTTATTACTTTATATTTTCATGTCAGATATTTCACCTTGTGTGGTAGAAAATTGTCTTTTGAAAGTGCGGCTAATTAATTTCTGTATTTTAGGTTCAACACAAAAAAGTCTAAGGTTTACATTATTGTTTCGTTTATTGTATTTATATTACATATTGTCCTTGGAATGTATTAAACCTACTACATAAAAAAGTGAGACAAAAAAAATAGTAGAATAAGTCAATTAGTAAAGTATAAATAAGTAAATTCTCAAATGTGTGTGAACACATCAATTTTATTAGAGCGATACTTGGATGCAGGGTGCTATCATTGTTGCAGCATGACATTTCAACAGCTGAAATAATCTTATATAAACCCAGCACGGATTAGACTGTATACTGGAGCCTTCTATTTTGAGTAAGCAAAAAGAAAATGATCATACTTTATCCAATGACAATCCAAGGTTTTGAGATTACTGGATTAGATGAAGTTAAAGCAGATTGTATCTGTCTGGATTGATGCACACAAGACCTGACATTTCAAAATCCATTCACCAAATCCATTGTTAAACTGGTGCTGACCGACTTCTAAGCGATCAGTGTTTCGTGGAGGAATATGGTCTGGAGACAGAATGATGGTATATTCAGATCCAGTCTTTCCCATAATTGTTATTGCAGCAGTTACAGCCTTACTTTCCTTGCTGCTTCACTATGGATTATTTGAGTCTTAAATCCCTGTTTATAGTTCCTAATGGATTATTTCGTCAAAGTTATTTGGGACTATGAATACAACGACATTACTAAAGATTCAGAACCAACAAGGTATGGCATATTTTTATTTGTTTACTGCAAGTTTAGAAGCAACAGAGGGTTGGGTTGTAAAAAAAGCTTTTCTAATTTCTTCAGGACAGTCCTGTAAAACAGACAATATTATAGTTTTATTTCTCCAATAATGGCCTAACAATTCTGTAAATGTATTTAATTGATGTAATTTGTTCATCTCATCCACAAATATAATAAACCAAATTTAGAAGTTTTTTATGCTTTTATATGAGGTATGCATAAATATTTAATCATCATAATATACCCTGCAGATGTGACCCTTTAATTCTACTGAAATATGTAGTATCGAAATCAAGGCATTATATTATACTAGATTTTATTAAAACACTTATGTATAAAATGTTAAAAGTCCCTTCAGGGAAAGATTGAAGTGTAAAAGATGGTATGCGTGTTAGTTAGTTAGTTAAAAGCCTGGCCCAAATAGCCCCCTTGATTATTTGCAGCGATGTGCAGATATCTGCATCCTTGTATATCTCTGTTAAAGTGTTTTACTTGTTTTATGTGGTTTAAAAAATGCACAAGATCTTATTCCTGCTGGGTTAGATATGATTGTATTTAATATCCTTGTAATAAGAAAGGTCAGGGTTAATGCACTCAGACTTGAGCAAGTTT